AAAAACCTTCCACGAAAAAGTCGTGCGCGACTGGCCTCAAACAGTTGTCCCTTGGGCTCTGCGGTCACGCTCCCAGGTCGTCAAGACCAACACTAATCCAATTTCCTTTTCAGGTTCCTCAAGAAATACCCTGCCACGGTGTGGGCAGCCGGGAAGTGATAACCGCCCTCATACCTCTAACAGCACTCAAGGCCACTGTATTTATAATCAACCTCCGTCTTCACTTCCTATTATTCCTCCTACATCGACTTTCACATCTAAACTTCCCTTTTCGGCTTCCTCCTCAAATGTCAACATAGCCAACGATTCTAGTGCTCAAAACACTGTCCCAGGTCTACTGAAACTTCGCTCCAAACTACACATTGGAGCCTTCAACGTACGCAGCCTGTGTCAAATCGGTCAACAGGATTCCTTGGCTAGAACCCTAGAATCTCGTACCATTGATGTATGCTGTGTCTCTGAAACACACATACAGGATCCCTGTGTGGTCATTCACTTGACCTCACCTCGTCAAAACGGAGAGCCAGCGAGATACATCCTCCGTGTATCTGGTGACCCGATGACCAGCTCTTGTGGACTGGCAGGAGTAGGGATAGCACTAAGCATGAGGGCGGAACAAGCACTGTTAGGATGGTGATCGTCTGTTGTAACCGTGCTCAACAATCGTTTATTTTTAGAAAACAAATTTCAAGCATAAGGAGACACATCGTCTAACATAGCGACCGCCTACACCAAACCAACGATGGACTCAAGTAGACCATATTGCCATCAGTCATCGTTGGAGAGGGTCGGTAGGAGATTGTTGCTCATTCTGGTGTACCTGCTTGGACTCCGACCATGCCCTAATACGGGCACGCATCTGCTTGCGCCTCACTGGACGCAAAAAAGCCACACTAAAAAGAGCCATTAGAACTGAATTGAGTAGCGAGAAAACCAAAAGTAGGTTCCAGGAACAACTGAGGTCACACTTAGGTAGTTCTGAAACCGAGGTTGACCCAGATGTTGCTTGGAAAGCTATACAAAAAGCTGTGGAAAGAGCAGTGACATCTATCAGTGATTTAAACTACAGGGTTACAAAGAACCAATGAATTTCCTCAAGGTCTATTGCACTGATGGATTCTCATAAACTCATCCCGTCAGGTTCTGAACATGATGAAGAGCGAAAGCAAATCAGATCTAGGTTAAGAAAAAGTCTAAGAAACGACCGTGAGCAGTGGTGGGCAACGAAAGCAAAAGAGATGGAAAAGGCGGCGGCTATAGGGAACACAAGACAGCTTTACAGACTAATAAAAGAAACTGGAATTAATAAGTCAAGTGTAAGTCAGACTATTTCGGAAAAAGACGACACCCTCATCTGCTCTCAGTCCAGACGTTTAGAACGATTGTCGGAACATTTCAGAGAACAGTTCAGCTGGCCTTCAGCTACTCTACAACTACCCTCCATTCCCAGACAGTGTGAATGGAACATTGAAGTAGGTACCCCAACTCCAGCAGAAGTTCAAAAGGCTATAGTTAATCTGAAAAGAGGAAGGGCAGCTGGTCCAGATGGACTGGTTCCAGAGGTCTTTAAGAATGGTGGTCCAATTTTAGCGATTAGGTTGACTAATATTTTAGCTAAGATCTGGGAGTTAGACGTTATTCCATTTGACTGGTCACAATCACTTATCGTCCCAATATATAAGAAAGGGTCAAAATCATCCTGTGACAACCATAGAGGGATTAGTTTAACTAATATAATATCTAAAATACTAGCCTCGATAATTATCAAACGCCTAACTAAGACTCGTGAACTGCAAACACGAGGGAATCAAGCTGGCTTCAGACCTGGTCATGGCTGCATCGACCACATATTCACCATTCGTCAGGTTCTACAACACAGACATACTTATCGACGTCCGACAATGGTGGTCTTTCTCGACTTAAAAGCAGCATTTGACTCTGTAGACCGCGAGATTCTGTGGCAGTGTCTGTCATTGAAAGGCGTACCACAGAAGTACATAAACCTTGTGAAGGCTCTTTACTCGAACACTACTAGTCGAGTGAGAGCTTATGGCGAACTGTCATCTGCTTTTGCAACCTCAAGTGGTGTCCGTCAAGGCTGTCCGCTTTCTCCATTTTTGTTTAACTTCATCATAGACCTACTGATGGAAATAACGCTCTCATCGACTGAATTTTCGGGCGTTGATCTCCTTCCAGGAGGTCCACTTATCGACTTAGAATACGCAGATGACATAGTCCTGTTTGGTGAAGACGCTGATAAAATGCAGAGTCTTCTGGTAGCACTAAGTAACAGTGCCAGAATGTTTGGGATGCGCTTCACTCCCTCTAAATGCAAGTTGTTGCTTCAGGACTGGTCTGCGTTAACACCTGAACTAAGGATAGGGAGTGAAGTAGTCGAACGCGTCGACAACTTCACTTATCTTGGAAGTCTGATCAGCCCTAATGGGTTGGTGTCTGACGAAATCTCAGCACGGATTCGAAAAGCTCGTTTGGCTTTTGCCAACTTGCGTCACCTATGGAAAAGGCGAGATATCCGTCTATCAATTAAGAGACGAGTATAATGCACAGCAGTTCGTTCTGTTTTACTTTACGGCTGCGAAACGTACCCATAAGGACTAGAAGGTATTCGTAAGTTACTAGTACTTGATCACAGATGCCTTAGAAATATTGCTGGCATCTGCTGGGATCACCGGGTAAGTAATAGTGAGGTTAGACGCAGGATATTAGGGAATGATGGTAAATCAGTTGATGAGGTTGTGAGTCTTCATCGACTGAAATGGTTGGGTCACGTGTTACGTATGCCTGAACACCGATTACCACGACGTACAATGCTAACCGGCGTTCGGGATAGTTTGTAGAAAGTTAGGGGCGGCCAAACCAAAACGTGGCATCAGTGTTTGAAGTCACTAACTTCTAGTCTGAATCATGTTGGTAGATGCAGACTACTTTGTTGGGTCTGCGTGACTCGTAACCAATGGTTGGAGACTCTTGGTGACATGACTCAGAATCGATCACAATGGCTTATGTGTATACACTCTCTGTCTTCCCTTAAACTATTAGATTAAAGTCGCTTCATATCTTTCTTTCTACTAACTAATTCTTTCTTCCTATACTATATCCTTATTGCAATCTTTCTTTATATATATTAGCACCTCTGAATTAACTACTTCTATGAATTTGGTGTTCATCTTGTTGTGTTAATGAGGTATATGTGCCTGGTCCTACGTTGTAGCTGACTGACTGAACTGAACAACCGAAATTCACTTACTGCCCTATAATGCTATTTTTCGCTCTACAATATAAATATTTATGTGCGCTGACCTTAGAGGAAAAGTACATGTTATGTAACATGTCGATACAGTGTGCTTCAATAATGTGATTAATGTGTTTGAAAGCTTTCACACTGACATTTCAACTAAGAATGCTGTACATCAATAATATCTTTTTGATTTTTACGTTTTTTTTATCTGTGTGTTTCCCACCATCAAATAGAGCGATTATTATTACAAAATTTTAGCTCTCGGTTTTTTTCATGCTTAAACTAAACCACCTAAATGAATGGGTCTCATTCAGTGAATATAATTAAAAGTTAGTTCTTTGGTTCCCGAGGTTATATTGATAAACACTGCAATGTCAGCTGCCTTTCTATCTAGCTTAACTTGCACTTTGTGGCAAGCAGGAAGTGACAAACCCCCTCATACCTCTAATATCACTAGAAATCTTTTCACGGTCAAATCCCCTCTTCACTTCACGCTATTCTTTTTATCCCCACCACCAACCTCTGTCCTATTACTTCATTCATATCCATCATCATTGCTAACTATTCGAGTTTGCGAGGCTATTTCTAGTCTCTTGAAACCTCTCTGTAAACTACACGTTAGGGGTCTTAGTGTTCAGACCTTATATTAAATAGCCCAACAGGCTCTCTTAGCTAAGATTCTAGAATCTGTCATCATTAATGTATATTGTCTCTGAAACATCCTGCAGGATCCAAGTGTGACCATCCACTTAACTTTATCTAGTCAATTCATAGAAACCGCACGATTTACTCTCCGTGTATCCAAAGACTTGAATGCCGCCTCTCGTTGCCTTGATGGTGTTAGCATACCATTAAGTTCAAACGTGGGACAGGCTTTCATGAATTGAATCCCAACAGATAGTCGCCTTTGCTCTATTCAACCAGATGCCGAAGCGAGAACACGGAAAGATGGGAACATGCACTGTCGTATCCCTCTACGCTCGCACTGACCGCAGTTCGGAAGAAGTAAAGATTGGGTTTTATGGGAATCTCTCTGCTCTCCTACAAAAGTAGTAATCGTAGCAGGAGACTCACGCTTAATTAGGTAGGCTAAACGAAAGTGAAAGACTGAGGTAAGTCTTACATCATCTCAGCTCAGCAAACAGAGGATGGCGACTGGTTACTGCAACAATGTTCAGACTTTCTGGCGGCCAAAGCAAGACGTGATATCAGTACATGAAGACACTGGCTGTTGGACTGATCCGTGTAGGTAGGTGCAGACGACTTGATTGGGTTTCGCATGATTACCTTAACCAATGATTAGAGATTGAATAACAGCCCAAGGTCGTTCGCAATGACACAGAGGCGCATTCACTTAGTTTCTAGGTCTCTAAATTCCCCGTAAATATTTTTCGTCACTGATTTATATCTTCTCGAATCGTTGTTTGGACACAGTCTTTTCTACTATTACTACTACCACTCTGGGATTTACCCCGACAATTTCGTCTCACTATACTGATGCGGTATGGCAAGCTGAACCAATGTACACATGTGCCACGTTCTACGTTGGTTTTGACTCACCGACTAAATTATAGTTCTGAATAATAAATTAAGAGGTTTAGCTCAAATTTCTTCAATTTAATATTAACTATCCATAACCCTACTTATATTTTTCAAAGATCATCTATACAAACTGTAACACATCTCGTAGCTTCCTTTTTGAATTTTCAGTAATTGAATTTACTTAATTCTTTTGTGACAGAGTGGAGAAGGTCGCACCTCAAATAACAGAAGTTTCTGAAGCTCAGAACATAACGGTTGTGTCACGTTTATCTTCCCATAAAGGGGTTCAGTACACTCGCCCAACTCATAACTTTATTACTACCCCTCCTCGAGATTCGGTTGTTTCTACTGGCTCTGTTGTTGTGATTCGACCAATTGGCAATGCTTCCACTCCAATAAATGTAACTACTGCAGCTTCTTCAACAGGTCTAAAAATCACTCCTATTGTTCCCTTAAAAATATCCTCGATTCAATCCACATCAAATGTATCTCGTTCAAATTCCATACCAACTCAACTACGAAATACTGCGGTGTCATCCTCTGCAAGGGCGAGCAACCTCATTACTCATTCTGTTCGTCCTCAAAATGTTCAGTCAGGAAGTACTGCACTTAATGATGTCTCTGAGAAACTCAAAACCATTGATGAGAAACAAACGTCTCAACGTAATGTTATCAGAGAGATGCAGGTACGATATTTACCAAAGTCTTAATTGGGCTTTTTAAGATACCTAATATAAACTAAACACTTTTAGTCAGTCTAATTCACTGTAGTTGTAGAAGTAAATTTATAAGGACGATTTGAAATTAACTTTATTACTGTTGACAATAAATGAAAATTATCTGCACAAGGAAGAACTGTACGGTCAACACAACAGTTAACTGGCAATTATTCTAGCAGTGATCAGCTTGTAACTGTACAGTCGTTTAAATTATAACGTTTCAAATTTAAAACAAAATCTTCAAGATGCACAACAGTTCATTAGCCATACACATGTCTTTCTGAGTCATACTATGTAAAAACGTGCTATACTACTTAGTATTTCAAACAATAGCGGAGCAGGTTTAGACTGGTGAATCACTAGTTAAAAACTGACTGAGTACGTAGGTTCAATCAACCTCACAAACATTTTTTCAGTATAGACCATATATAAATCAAATTAATTCAGAAGTTGTCTGAAATGATAAAACGTTAAATGCTAAGTTTGTGTGATAGAAGACAACAGTTATATACTAAAGGAAATTATTGATCAGTATCTGAAGGGGTTTTGTGGAGATTGTTGAAATTATTGATCGTTTGATAATTAGTTTTGACAAAAATGTCATATGGAAATTAGCAAACAATTTCTATTATTCATATGATTTAACTCTCTAGATCGAAATAAACCGTCTTTGTATCACTCAAAAAACTAGCCACGGATAAGTGCAAGAGATTGTAAAGTTCTATTAAAAGTAGTACTTTTATTAACTTATATGAAAATACTAAAATCAATAAATCATAAATCGATCAAACTAAGGATTTTGTACCTCCCGAGATTTTAATTGATCTTATTTGCCTATAAATAACACAGTTGTGTCTTCATATTTTAGGTTAGAGTTCCAAACAAGAAGGACAAAAGATTTAGTGTATTGCGTTTCCATGCAGCTGACAGGCTTGATTTATCATCAGCCCCTGAAGTTTTTATGCAACGTGAAAATAATCTTAAGGCTTATCGGAGTTTATACAATACAACCGAAATGCCAGACACTGGTGCTGGTAGTGAATTCGGCCGCGAAGCTAAAGAAGAGGCAAGATTAAAAAAATTTGGTGTTGTACGAGAAAGTTATAAGCCAGATGATCAACCTTGGCTAATGACGGTTGGAAAAGGCAAGGCTAATCGCCGTCGTTTTAGAGGAGTTCGAGAAGGTAGTGTGTCAGAGAATGTCGAATATTTTGTATTTTGCCAGTGCAAAGATGGTAATTTCGATGCTTATCCGGTAAATGCTTGGTAAGTAGCTTTTTGGTTCTATATCGCCATTTACTGTCTACCCAGCCGACCACTGCGTCCTACACTTTACTGATTTCAATATGAAATTTACACGTTAATTTCCAAATGGAAATATTCGTGTGGCCCCGAAAGTTTGTTAAAAGCGTGATCACTTCATATTAATAGTCTTTAAACCTACATATAAAGTTTTATCTTTAGACGCTTCACTGCGCATAAACTAAATAAAACATTATGGTGACCACTCAGTGAGTTCTTATTACACCACATTCGAAAATCCGTAGTGTTCTATGCTTTATGATCTTTTAGTGGCCCTGTATATCTGACTCTAGTTAGATCGGATGAATGATTGTTAATGAAAGATATGTATCGTCAATCCTCGTATATAATTATCAACTTAATTCGCGTTATTAAAAAAGCGAACTAAATAAGTTAAATACGAGAACGGATTTCGAATACATATATTTCATACAGTTGTTGATCCAGACACAAACGATCGAAGAAACTGGTTTGTCCAGAAGCTAGAATAAGCTATGTGGGCTCGACATAGGACAAGTTACTACAATCCCACCTCGCTTTGAATGATACTAATTCATTGGATTGTAAATCGTTTGGTTAGATGTTCAAATCTAAGTATTGATGTGATGCATTTTTCACATTGCGGTTTCAGGTAACAGCAGTATGATTAAACCAGGGTATGGTTAGTGTTTTCCACTTTATTTCAGTAGTTTTATCGTGAAATAGGCATTTTCCTCTCACTGTGTTATTTTTGGATTGTGGTTTAATCAATGGACGATCATTGTATCGCGTACCTCATCTTAATCTATATTTTAGTGTGTTACATCAATGATTCGTACTAAACTGATGTCTCCATTACATGCTTTTCTTTGAAGGTGATTTTACAAATCCTGTAATTACCTTGACCAAAAGAGTTTAAGATGTCCACCAGTCCAACTTTCACACATTTCTGTTCATGATAAGATTCCCTTTCTAGATCGTAATGTCAGTCAAACTATTTCGCTATATATTGAAAAAGTCATAATACATTCTCTTAATTCCTTTTGATAATACATCTTACTCTAACTGTAGAATCCTTTACAGTTTCTCATCAAAAATTGTATTCCACTTAACGGCGTTTTCAATACATAATGGGTTTTTTCTCAGTGCTTAAACGCTCTAGAACAGTCAGTACATAACACCAGATAAGCTCTAGATATTCAATGAAGCAAAGTTATACGAATTTCCCCACCGGTAAAAATATTGTAATGTTTGCTTAACCATATTAACTATCGTTTCTACTACACCAAACTATAAACCGTTTCCATTTACCGTTAAGAATATTGCATATTTTTGACTTTTTGCTACCCCGTTAACAAAACATTGTCTTTCAGTATGACGCATCACCTCAATGATACTGCAGTCTTTTTTTCAAATTACCTAATACACTTGCAAATATTCTTTTTGTTATTTTCGATTTATAAATAGGTACAAGATGAAACCGGAAATAAGTTATCGTTTTCTTCGAGAAGATGAAGCTGAAGCAGAATATAGCCGCCTACACAAAACTCTCAACTTATTTAACGTTATGGTTAAACGGAAACTCACCGATAACGTTAGCGACGATGAAACAAACATGGATCGAGAAATTTCGAAGGGATTAAAGTAAGTCCGATTATCTATATAACAATTCTTTACATTAGGAGCATAAATCCCCATTAAAACGAGCTAAACTTTTCTAGTAAATCGGATCTTTTTGATTAACTTATTCATTAGAACTCAGAATTTCAGACTACTGTTTTTTTATGCATTTCATTTCAACTCATTAAGTAGCAAAATTTTGTATTTCTCGGTACTCATTCTAACATGTGTTCATCAGAGAATCAGTGTAGATATGACTTTTTTTTGTTACTCAACTGACTCAAAAGCTTTGTAGTAAGAATATTTTGGAACAATAATCTAGATTCAGAACCCTAACACTTTCATACCAGACATGAATTTCAGTTTTATTGTTTTCACTCATTTCATTCTGCTTTTAGGTTTCTAACTTCCCTCGGAGACTCCAATTCAAATCAGCGAAATTCAACAGAAGTAAAAACTAAGGATCTGAAGCCTGAAAACACTTTAAAGCTTACTGATTTGGAAGAATTGGACAGTGGTAGTGAGGCTGATGATGACGATGATGAAGATGATCTGGGTGATGATAATCGCTTGAAAAATCCGAACGCCGATCCACTCAAAGCAGAAGAAGGCCCAAGTTCTAGTAAAGGGAAAGGTCTCTTGTTTGAAGATCCTGATGATCGTAATAAAGGTGGATCTAAAGGTGGTTTACTAAAGACGTCCGAACGCACTCGCCTTGCTAAAAAGAAGCAGCGTGCAGCTGCTATTGTTACAAAAATGAGACGTGGTGTTAAAAGGCGTAAACGAAAAGCTATTAATATGGGCTCCTCCGATGAAGAAGATGATCCAGACGAAGAAGCACAAGATGAGAGTGAATTAGACGATCACGAAGGAGATGAGGTAAAACATATTTCTTTATTGATACCCTTATTTTATTTATTAACTTGTCTTAACCACACCTTTTGCTTTCTCAGGAATCTGTCTGTAACTTTAAAGCTGGGGATCGTGGCACATATTTAAAACTAAGAAGTTGATATATACCGTTTTTTTATCAAATCATTAAATATGTATGTACTCTTTGAATTTGTTGGCTTAACGTATACTTGACATAAAGTACATACTTTTATTTTAATGATGATAGTATATATATACTGAATGTAATTACAGAATTCACGCCAGTTTACAGGCGTGATCAGCTTGATGTAAGTAGTAACATTGAATGTAGAAGACAAACATGTGATATAAAATTGTTTTAAGTGTACTAGTTCAACAATTGTTTAGGTAGTACATTTATGACATGTATTGAAGCAATGAAATGCATCGGCCGGGAACTTTTAATTCTTCATAAGTGGACATGCTGTTGATTTATGAACGGTGCATTTTAGGTCATTTCCTGCGTCATAACGAATTAATTACAATCATCTACAACTAGAGAAAGTAAAATGGAAACAGATAGCACGGAACAACATAGCAATAATTACCAAAATATGTCAGTCAGGTCTTCCATAATGGATATGTCATGTGACTCAGTGATATACTATTCATTTTAGGCATTATTCAAATTAGTTAGACTTCCCGCGGACAGTGTTAACGTAGAGTAACAACAGGTAGGTGGTTTTACTTAGTGAACTCAGTAATACGAATGTCTAAACATTTAAAATTTTTATAATCTCACTTCTGGAATAAGATACCTGCGCTAGATTTCATGCATTTTCAGGTGAGCAGTTATGCATCGACGCAGCGAACAAAGGATGGGAGTAATTTTATCTTACAGATAGATTGTGGTAGGTTATTCCACAGTCTGGTTGTAGTACTCGAAGTTTCAGCTTCGTACAGTAGAACTCTCTTGATGTTCGTATTGAAGATTCTAACTTTGATATTGGTTGACTGTTGTTTTGAGTTCCATATGTTCTTCGACTGTATGAATACTGACCTTACTTTGTCCATCCTCGCATTTACGTCTGCATCGGATCCTCCATGTTCCTCAGTGATGATGTCCAGGTCCATGAAAGTTTCCGCCTGTCCCAGATTTTCTCCGTCAAAAGTGATTGGATTGGTGTTCTCCATGTTGTATTTGAGGATCTTGCTTTTTCTCTTGTGTATGTTGAGACCTACTGATGCAGAAGCTTATGCCACACTGGTGGTCGACTTGCATTTGTTGGTGTGCATGTGATAGAAGGGCTAGGTCATCTGCGAAGTCCAAATCGTCCAGTCGCATTCTAGCTGTCGATTGCATTTCGTGTTTCCTTCCATATGTGGAAGTCTTCATAATCCAGTCAACCACTAGAATAAAGAGAAAGGGTAAGAGTAAGCAGCCGCGTCTGACACTGGTCCTCGCTTGGAATACATCTGTCGGTTGCTCTTTGTCCACGACTTTGCAATGTTGTCCTTTGTAAGAATTCAGTATGATTGTGACGATCTTCTTCGACACACCATAGAAGTGACACTCACAGGACGAACTATGATTTAAGGAAATTTGTATTACTACTTAATCTTATTCTAGACTGTTGTAATATTCACGTATGACAATTAAAATGGAATCTTAGATTCTACGGTCCATAAGTAGTTTGTTACTTATACACCAGTAATTTGATCTTTAACTTATTTGTAACAATATTCTGATCATTTTGAATATGTCATTATTTTTTGTGATTTGTCAATTTTATCGGTTCATCTAACGTATTGATAACAATATGTATATGTTGCCTCCGGTTTATTACATGTGTTGTTTTCCCGTACAAATTTAACTTTGTAGTTGTTTAAATTACAGATAAATATCTGTGATATCAAACAGGTCTACTTTTACACAATCTTCTGTAAACCACATTTTCCGAACATCTCTTTTCGAACTTGTACGTATGTAAATTATATTATTTCACTCCATCCCACAATGTTTTTAATTCTTGTTTCATGTAAGTTTATTGAGGTAACTATTTATTTGAGGTTTTTACAATCTTTCTATCGTAATTTTAGGTAGATTACATGACTAATTCATCATCAGATGAAGAGAAATTATCTAGTGAAGAACGCGAGAAAATATATGAAGAAACTGGGGTTGATGAGGAAGTCGCCCTGAAAACTCTGCTTACTGACATCAGTGAGTTGTTTTTGATTAGCGAAATTTATTTCCGCATACTGATGGAATATTGATAGCCTTGTATGGAATAGATGAACGGTAAATGTCAATCACTTGACCGCCTCCTTAAATACTAGAATTCACTTAAACACTAACCTAATTTCTCATTCATCCCAATTTTTTTCACTATCGTCCGTGTATGCTACTTTTTTTTTACATAAATTCTTCCTCCTCAATATCTGATGCTAAATAAACAAACGTATCGAATACCATAAAAGTACAGTTCAAACAGTATGTTCAGTCAGTCAGTAACAACGTAGAACTTCGTACGTACGTACATCAGTTCGAGTTGCCACACCACATTAGCACAGAGATGCGGTGGTCTATTCAAATCCCGTAGTGCTAGATGTAAAATTATAAGCTGTTATCAGAAAAATTAGGGTTTGAAGATGTTATTCAAGGAGTATAATCCAGTGAAATAAATTTGGAGAAAAAAGAAAGGGACATGAAGAATTCAGAATATTAGAATTTGGGAGAACACAAAGAGTGGATGCACCTGCGCCATTGCAAACGATTTTGAGCCATGTCATTCAGGGTCTCTAACGATCGGTTGCTATCATCTCGCGGTCCCCAACCAGGTAGTCGACACCTACCAACATGACTCAGTCCACTTGTCAGTGGCTTCATGGACTTGTGCCATGTTTTGGTCTGGCCGCCCCTAGCTTTCTTCCAATCTACTCCTATACAACAAAACATCGCACATCGAGGCAGTCGGTGGTTGGGCATACGTAACACGTGTCCCAGCCATCTCAACTGATGAAGTCTCACTACTTCATCAATTGATTTGCCATCCTTACCTAGTACCCGTTTCCTAACAACTGCATTACTTACTCGATGGTCCCAGGATATACGAGCAATGTTTCGAAGACACCTATGATCAAATACTAGTAACGTACGGATATCCTCTACTCTTACCGGCCATGTTTCACTGCCATAAGGTAGGATGGAACGAACTGCTGCGCAGTAAACCCGTCCTTTGGTTGATAGACGGATATCTCGCCTACGCCATAAATGACGCAAGTTGGTAAAAGCTAGTCGAGCCTTCTGTATCCGTGCTGAGACTTCGTCACACACCAGACCACAAGGGCTGATGAGACTTCCAAGATAAGTGAAGCGGTCGACACGCTCAACTACTTCACTCCCTATCATTAGTTCGGGTGTCGATGCAACCCAATCGTGAAGCAACATTTTGCATTTCGAGGGAGAGAATCGCATCCCGAACATGCTTGCATTGTTGCTTAGAGTGGTCAGAAGACTCTGCATTTTGTCAGCGTTTTCGCCAAATAAAACTATGTCATCAGCATATTCTAAGTCAACAAGTGAACCTCCCGGTAGAAGTTCAACCCCTGGAAATCTAGACGAGGAAAGTGTTATCTCTAAAAGTACGTCGACGACAAAGTTGAACAAGAATGGAGAGAGTGGACAGCCCTGACGAACACCACTTGAGGTAATCAATTCTGATGACAGTTCGCCATAAGCTCTCACTCTACCACTTGTGTTCGAGTAGAGAGCCTTTATAAGGTTAATGTACTTCTTTGGTACTCCTTTCAGTGACAAACACTGCCATAGAACCTTACGATCAACAGAGTCGAATGCCGCCTTAAGGTCGAGAAATAATACGATTGTGGGGCGTCTGGACGTGTGTATGTGTTCTAGAACCTGACGTAGTGTGAATATCTGATCTATACAAACACGTCCAGGTCGAAAACCAGCCTGATTTTCTCTAGTCTGTTCTTGACGAGCTTTGGTTAGGCGTCGAAGTATTATTGAAGCTGATATTTTAGACACTATATTTGTCAAACTGATTCCTCTGTGATTGTCACAAGAGGACTTTTGTCCTTTCTTAAAAACTGGCACAATCAGTGACTGAGACCAGTCAGATGGGATTACGTCCAGTTCCCAAATTCTACCTAAGACCTCAGTTAATCTCACTGCTAATACTGGACCACCATCCTTAAAAATCTCAGGAGTAAACCTGTCAGGGCCTGCTGCTCTCCCTCGCTTCAGATTTCCTATGGCTTTTTCAACTTCGTAAAGAGACGGAGGACCTACATTAACTTGCCATTCAGGTTGACTAGAGATCGTGGGAAACCGAAGTGTGGCTGAAGGCCAGTTGAACTGATCCCTAAAGTGTTCTGCCCATCGATCCAATCTCCTGGATTGAGAATGAATAATATGTCCATCTTTCTCTGAGAGTGTTTCACTAACAGTCGGTTTCCTAATACCGGTTTCCTTAACAAGTCTGAACAATTTCTGCTATTACCTATTGCCGCTGCCTTTTCCATCTCTCTTGCTTTCGCTACCCACCACTGTTCACGATCATTGCGTAGACTTCTTGTCAGCTTGCGCTTAAGCTGACTCCGCTCTTCATTATGTTTAGAGCCAGATGGAATGAGTTTCCGAGCATCTATCAGTGCGATAGATGCTGCTAAGATCCAGTGTTTCTCCCTAACCTTGTGGTTTACCTTACTAGCAGATATCACTGCTGTTTCCACAGGTTTTCGGATATCATTCCATGCTGCCTCGGGGTGGGCATCACCTATATGGCTGCCTAACTGTTTTCCTAGTTGTTCCTGAAATAAACTCTTATCTTGGCTATCATTAAGTAGGCCCCTAAGAGGTTTCCTTGCAGCGTCTCTCCTACGTCCAGTAAGACGCAGACAGATACGCGCTCGTACTAGAGCATGATCTGAATCTAAGCATGTGCTCCAGAATGAGCGACAGTCTTCTATCGAGCCCCTCCATCGGTGGCTGATAGCGATGTGATCTATTTGGTTCCAACGTTGGGACGAATTAGGGGGTCGCCATGTTAAAAGATGTTTTTCCTTATGCTTAAAGTTAGTATTTGCAAGGAACAGGCGGTTATCTGAGCATAGCTGCAACAGACGGTCACCATTATCTGTTCTTTGAGCCACGATGCTATAAGATCCATCCAGGTGTCTTTCCCTGTTGTCCTATTTGGCACAGTGTTCGGACGTTAAAAGCTCCTACATGTAGTTTAGAGCGTGGTTTCGGGAGACCAGGAATAGCGTTCCGCGTACTCGAATCGTTTGCCCTAGCAGTGCGAGATGATAAAGAGACGTGAGGAGGGTTAGTCATGGAGATAAGAGAGGTATTAGGGGGTGTAGGAAGGATTTGAATGTGACCAACTTGGTCTCGTGTGCTGTTACGGGTATGAGGGCTAATATCACTTCCCGGCTGCCCACACCGTGGCAGGGTATTTCTTGAGGAACCTGAAAAGGAAATTGGATTAGTGTTGGTCTTGACGACCTGGGAGCGTGACCGCAGAGCCCAAGGGACAACTGTTTGAGGCCGGTCGCGCACGACCTTTTCATGGAAGGTTTTTAATGTGTTAGCTCCGTTCTTCAAAGGGCCTTACCGCCGGAGACGGAAATCCGTGAGGTAAGGTGAGGTGTGACATTTTTAGGGTCAACCTTTTCTAACCCTACCCCTCCTTGTGGGAAGGCAGCATCGCTGTCATGCTGGTTGTCTGAAGGAAACACCTTACTGCTGTCACACCTCTGTACAGTTAGCAGTACGACTTCGCCTTCGGACCTTGGGTTTGTTGCTTTTAGTCTTACCGCTCTTCAACCGACCTGTCTGACATGGTAGGACCTTGAGGAACAGTTGTTCCATCCAGTATAGCTCGGTTGCTTCATCACGATAGGCAAGCCCGACCACCACGTCAAGGTAGCAGCTTCGGTCGAATTTCTTCGAAATGTTAGATATACAGGTCCTATATACTCAAGTTGGATCTGTATATCAAACATTTCGAAGAAATTCGATACTGAAATAAAATATAACAGATGTAACGTTAGTTTAATTTCCAACGCTTTGGTATAAAATATGGGTCCAATCATTTCCCGCATATTCTCGTAAAATTTGCTCCCAGAAATGTTCGACAGCTCCCAGAATTCAGTCATCACTGTCTCCACAGCACTGTTCACATTGTGGAAGTTGTTATTACAATTGGTGCAGTTTTTCCAAATGTTTGATGGTCAAGGCTTATTTTATTTATGTTACCCCAGCGGCTTCCATGTCAGGTGTTATCCACAGACTCTAAGTGCTGTCATAAAAGTAGAGAGTATTCGAGGCGTTTGGATGATAGGTAGTTATGTTGAATTGGCAACACCGCTTTTGATGGGACTACAAAGATGACACCTCAGTAGCTCCAAATATTATCAGAACTGGGTTGCAATTAATGGTAATGCCAGTCTTGTCATTTTTATGTCATACGTAGATGGTGATCTTCAGAAAGCAGCAGAAGTGAAATGAACTAGTTGTTTGTGCCCGGATTGTTTGCTCTGTTATTATTAAACCTGATTTTGATAATGCTCTCATTTCTTATTGTATTCAACGACTCTTGAACCCTCTGTCATAAGGAAATTTTGTTAAAGACTCTGGGTGACATGTCTCAGAATCGATCACAACTCTGTAGGTGTATACACTCTTTGTCTTTCCTTAAACCGTGAGATCAAAATTACTTTTTATCTTTTTTTCTACGAACTAGTTCTTTCTCTGTTTCATATCCTTATATACAATCTTTCTCTATATTACTATCATTGAAGTAACTGCCAGGAATTTGGTGTTCATCTTGTTGTGTTATTGAAGTATGGCAATTTGGATCAATGTGAGTATGTGCCTGGTCCTGCGTTGTAGCTGACTGACTGAAAAAATGTCTCATTAACCATCCTCAGGTGTAAATATTTATTTAAGTTTCGTGACATGCACAAGAAATCCGAGTTCAGTCGTCCGCATGATATCACTCGTTTTATACTATTTACGTTCATTAGCCTTATGACGACCGATGAATTCTAAAATTGTTAGTGCTTAGAACAGAGCTAATATCGATTACTGAAGTTTCCCTATCAAGTCTCATGTTATTCAGGGAGTTTTTCTTCGTAAAAGAAAAGAACGAGTAATATCTGCCAGTGTTACTGTAATTATTTTTTCAAAATTTAATAATTCCTCTTGATTTATATGTTCAAAACATCTAACAACAGAATTACGTTTTGCAACCGCATCTAAACAGGCCGCTAGTTTATTGTTTTTACATATATCCTGGACTTCTGAAAAAAATTGATGTTGTGGTCTTGTAGTTTAAATACGTAACCCGCAATTGTCAGGTTTCACACCATAACATTGATTAAAACCCATTGATTAAATCAGAGACCGGTAGTATCAATAACGAAAATTATGACTTAGAGCCTAAGTACATGAATCTGTTGTTAATTACTGAGTTATATTAAAGCTATTAGACAATGAGACAATACTGCTCTGTGCTTTGAAGAAATCTGAAAGCTATATGTGTCTTTAGTAGTTCATGTATTGCCTTGATTATAGTTATGACTGTTAGAAGTTAATTCTTGGAATCATGTGACTAGTGTTATTTTGTCACGAGAAAGCAGTGATTAGGAGTTCCCTGGCAGCCCCCAAATCCCCTGGTATGGCCGAGAATGGGGTGGGCCCGTCATCCCTCTCGAAATGCTCTCACACGGCCACGCGTACACAGCCTTTGCCCGGGAAGTCCTACTCACTGCCTTCTCGTGGCGAGGGTGTTGTTTACGAAACTGAGAGGACGAAAAGCGAATGTCTGACGCTTTAATCGGGTTAATGGACACGCAGAGTCCACATAGAGGAATTGGGAAACCCTGATTCCAAACCAATGATGCACATTTTTTCTAGTATCCTGTGGGAACAAATGGCGTATGAACCAATCGTTGGTCACCGGCTACCATGGGACTGCATCTCCTCACGATGCTCCACTGCCTTGTGGATCAGACCTTTAAGTCAAAGGCTCAGGGTGTGGCTCCCTAAGAATACCACCTGCTTCGATCTGGGCAAACGGGCAGTATCACAGCCTTCACACAAATCGAATGATTTATGTGACGCATATCTGTTTGATGCCTCTTTGTGCCAATGTTTATGTGTTGAAATAAATAAATAGACTTAAAAACTTACATCATTATATGCCTCAGCTAGAAGACCGTCACGCACCACAAATAAAACATATCAGTTTATGCGAAACTAGGTTATTTGTGGTATAATACTGAGTAACTCGTATACAATTAATCAGTTGTATCAATGAAAGAAACCTATCGTATCTATTTATTTTGTTTTATCAATTGTAACTTATGAACAGCTAAAGATATATCAGCAGTTAGTAAGTTAAGCGAAAGCCTATAGTATTGTAGTTTACTCCAAGTCTCAATGTAATTGTTTGTTCAAACCATCCTATCCATTCTATGCAATTTCAGCCCTTGCTTTATTATTATGTAATATATATTGAAAGTGCTTTTTTCTTGTATTGGGATTTTTCTAATATTGATTTTTCGTTTTTACTTTCCCTCTAACAGGTAGTGAAGAAGAGGAAAAGTCTGAAGATGACATGCAAGACGTAGAGGAAAATCCACCTGTTGATGATGAGGATAATATCTTTTCTAAGAGACGTAGTGAAATAGATGATATGACAAAACCTCAAAGAAATGATTTCCAAAAGGGTACAAAACATTCAATATCCATTCATAAATCAGATGATAGATTAGAGGCCACTGCAAAATCTCATCGTAGTCATAAAAAACGTCAAGACAACGACAATGACAGTGGATCATCATCAAGTTCGAGTTCTTCATCGGCTGATGATTCTTCTACATATTCTTCATCTGATTCCGACCTTGACAACCGGCTTAAATCAATACAGAAAAATGCGAAAAAAGCTGAAGTGTTGCAAAAACTCTCAGAAACCATTCATGCACCTTCACTTTCATCTGGAATTAATAGTGGTAGCAGTCCAATTGACAATCAACCAGTAAGCTGTGGCAATAATTCAAATTTAAAACGTTTACCTACTGATTTATCTGCATCTGTTAATTCAGACACCTCAGCAGATTCACCCGCTGCAAAAAAATTGCGAAATGACACACCATCTGGTACATCAACAATTTCAACTGACAATGAATTAGTAAATACTGTACGTAAATACTTAATGAGAAAGCCTATAACAGTTCGAGAATTATTAAAGAAAATTCGTCTACGTAAATTGGTTGGTAAAAATGAAGATGCACAAACAGTATTGGCTAATGTATTACGTCAGCTGAGACCTATCAAACAGACAATTAATGGACAACACGCTTTATCTTTAAAACATTAATTGTCTGAAATAAAAGTTCTATTTTTAAAAAAACTGCATGTATAGACATTGCTTCTTCTTTTCCTGGTTATATTTATATATTTTTTAATAATGAAAAGAAATATATGTATATTTGTACACAAGAAATGTACATGTATTTTTAATAATTTATTTGAACATATTCATTGTGTATTCTTTAACAAAACATTTTTTGGAATAATCGTCTTTCTCTACAAATTACTTATAGTTTGTGTTTGAAGTTTGCCTGGCTATAATGTGTGTTTGACTGCACTTTTAGTATGAAGTCATACGTTTGTCTTAACTGGTGCGAATATATTTCGAGTTGAGTGGGTAATTTCTTTTAATAGTCACTTAAAGTACAATACTCTTTCCGTAGGTTACTAGCGTTTTATCATAGATGCCCTGGGATCATTGCCCGCTTGTGGTGAGACAACCGAGTATGCAATGTTGAGGTTGGACACATGGTTCTAGGTAAGAATGTGACGAGTCGGTTTACGAGGTAGTTATTTGTTATTGATTGAGTAGATAGGAGAATGTGTTTGGGTACGGCCAAACGAAAACATGGCATTGACAGTTGAACTGAGCTGTGTAGGTAGGTGCAGTCTATTTTGCTAGAATCGGCGCATTATCCTAGATCAGCAGTTAGAGACGCTGGATTATATGTCTCGGGACCATTCATTCTTTTTCTTTCGCTAGGTCTTGGGTTTTACTATTATACACTTTGTCGGGCTGGAGTTATTTTCAGCAAATTATATTAGGGAATTCTCGTTATGACCTGCTAAGTTTTTAAAAATCAGGACTTTTGTTGCATCATCTACGACACTTAATTGATGTACTTTGATTATATCTGAATTGGGATGTAACAAAGCTTGTTTTATAATTAGAAAACAGACTACAAACTAGATAACGTCCTTCTGTGTTCAGCCGTTTCATAAGATGTTTTTCATGCTACTTATTATTACCGAGTAGTGTAAATATTGTTTGTGTTCAACTTGAAATAAAGTGATTTGTTATTTTCACCATAGTGCCAATCCTGTTGAAATTTCCATATCAATTTTAGAACGACGCTTCTCGATGTCATAGTTATCTTTATCCCATTTAATGATAAACTGGTTGATAATCTCTATCAGTGGAATATTGGGATTTGGATTGTTATCCTTTACGTCATCAATGTAAGTTCTATCGCGTATTCTTCACGTTGTTACCTCTGTCAGTACATTTTGAGTGATGAATGAAGTTAAAGATCTTTCTTGTGAACTTCTTGATTTGTTCTAATACAATGACTCCTTATTGATTTTCATTAAAAGTGATAGATCGGTGTATTGTACTTGAAACATTCACTAAAAGTAAATCTACTTAGTAAAATTTACCATCAGAAAATCCTTTTTTTTTTGTAACCAAATGTGATAAGATTTTTCATTAACATACTGGTGGGACTAACTGTATTTATCTATGATGCTGTTAAGATAAATAGTTTATCAAGAGAGAATGTGATTTATATAGTATTTGCAGAAAATATGGTCCTATTATGAGGAAATACTGCCAAGAGATAAGGTCTCTTGAAGGCTTTGGATGCTTATCCATGGATTTTTTGAAAGTGTCTGGCACCTCCATATCAATTCATTGTAAAGTTGGACATGCTTCTCTAAATTGTTTACTTCGGCTAAGTAGAGAGTTCATTTCTATTTTGTTTTCCTATTCTGCTTATGATTCTGATATTTTATGTATCATTCGATATCAAGGATGGGGTTTGCTTCGCTTGATTTCTGTGTCTTACATCATGGTTATAAGATGTACATTAAGAGTATCTTAACAGAGCGTGTTTGGTCATTTTCTCCCTAACTGTTACGATGTGTCAAACCTTAAGGTGTTTCACTATTGTGTGAAGTTTAACATTTTAGATACCAATATGTTTTTGCCCGATTTGGTTTTCATTTTACTCTCTCTCCAATAAATATATCAAAAGAAACATATGCCACAGCACATTTCAGTCTCTTATGCAATTTCAGGAGTAACCACAGGAATTCGCTTACGTTACTTAAAAATGTTTATCGTTCTCAATTAAAATACTTCCAATTTCATGGATCTGCCAATTAGTAGCTATACAAAAAAGCTTACACTGCCAGTGTTTTAGCGAATTCAGTCTCAAACAAATTTGCCTGATTCTGGGTTACATTTGTTTGCTCATTACTTATTTCTATTTTGTCGCTCGACCTTCAACATTTTCACTTACCGATTATCTCTTTGATCAGTTATTTGAATAATCATCAAATAATTCCAGTTAACACTCTTCATTTGCTATTATTTTTAACTCATCTTTTCGTTTAACTTAAGGATCATGTCTGCATTTCGTAATCTAGCCTGGTTTTCAAAAGGGATGCGTGAATACACAAAGTAAGTAATTTTATTTAAAACTTCATACGATTTCTTGAGTATCCAAATGATTATAATGTGGCATACATATCGGTTTTTATATATGGGTCTGATATTTTTGTCATATTTTGTCGCCTTTTGCCCTATTAATATATAACGTAATGATACCACAAATTGGAGAGCAGTGGCTTATCGACCGTATCAATGACGCATAACCACTTCCGAACCGTCTAGGGTCCTTATCCGTCCTTCTTCCTGACTAGCCCTACCTGCTGAGTCCAGAACACTAATCTCAGCCTCCGCTATATGAATCATATGTTTCAAACATACAGGGTTTGGTTGATATACACACCAAACAGACCACACCGTACCATAAAATAGAAAATAACATTTGTAAAAATCTAGCCAAAAGTTACTGTGAATGTGGGAAACTGTAATTAATAGATTGGGTATAACTCGAGAATGGCAAATCGCATAGTAATAGTCCGTGGATCAAAATAAAGTTTGCAATAGGATGAACCTGAATATTCTTAGTTCAGTTACTTAATTATACAATAAAAAAGATATATATCGTATTAGTCCATAAATAGTTTACAGAAGGTACCATTCATAATTCTCGTCGGGATATAACAATTTTAATTTCTCAGCTGTGTCAAAATCCAGATTTATTTGAGCCTCATATTGTTCCACATACGTGTAATGCAGAAATAATGTGTCTGATTTAACTTATGCATGAGTATGTACTCAGCTCAGTCATACTATTTGTCTAGTGGATAGGGATACTATCGAATTAGAAATAGTGGAGTTCGAAACTGTTACCGTTCTAGGATTAAAACTACCTTGCAAAGCAAAACTATTAAAAGCTAGCTTCATCACTATGTAACGGTTTGCTTGATACGTTATTAAAGTAGTATTAAATCAAATTACGAATGCAGTCGAGTTAGAATCCTGATGAGTATGTGTTTGACCATGTACATAAGCGTTAATTTTGTTAGTTCGTAAAGCCTGTATTCACGATATCCTTTCACGTTCCAAACATTAGCTGTTAGTCTTTGTTGCACTCATATCTAAAAATATAACTAGCTAACTGTCAAATGCGTTTCTATTTTTAGCTTCATCTCGACATTACTTCTCCTTGCCTGTTACGTTACACTCTTAATAATTACTCAATATTTCAAACTGTTTTATGGCTTGTTTGGTGTTGTGCATATTTTTTAACGTTAATTTCATCATGTGTTCGCCGCTATTTGAAACTTAGTCTGTTTTGAACGGTTTGTCATTCCTCTAACTTTGGATTTTTGCCGTTTCCAATGTGACCTAATAATTCTATATAACTTGTGCACTTCGTATTCAATAACCATCAAGTCAATATTAAAAATGGCCGAATGATTATTCAAAAAAGATATTTCAAGCTGTGGAAAAGTCGAGTAGCTGAAAAACTTTATTTATTGCTGAGACATATACCACTCAACAGAAAGGAAGGCTGAATTTTAAGCCGGCCTAAACAATTTTTCCAGAATTTTTGTATCTGACTTCAGGGTCACACAACAACCAAATTAAATTACTGATCTACATTATAAACACCAGGCCTTTCATAAACACACTAGACATGTCTCACGTGATGTTACGCGCAACTCTTTCATCAGAACCTCGGAATGTATTCTTTACTAACAAGATCTAATGTCTTAATTGTGTCTAGTGTTGTATGTGATGATCATTTATTACAGATCACTGCTAAAGTCCATTACTCTTTTTTCCTTTATTCAGGTCAGGCTATGAGTCAGCTGCTTCACATTTTGATCCTAATGAGTTGAAAAACGTACGCTTAGACAATCACCGTGTTTTGATAACTGGAGCCAATTCAGGGATCGGCCTCGTGTGTTGTAAAGAATTAGCGAAACATGGTGCAGAAATCCATATGGTTTGTCGCAGTAAACCTCGTGCTGAAGAGGCACGTCAGCAGATAATCTCTGAAACTGGAGTCAATGATTCGGTTAGTTATTCTTTTTATCAAGAAGTATGATGGAAACGTTTCCTGTGACTATCTTTTTCAATGTATGTGTTTTTTTATGAGAATTACTAAGAATGTATGCCGCTGGTGATGCTGAAGTTTCAAGTAATGCATTCGGAAGAAATCAATTTTAAAATTCGCCTATTGATTTAAAATGAACTTCGTTCAGTTAATTTTCAATCCATTGTTGATGTACTGCGGTTTTTCGTTCAGTAGTGATTGTGCAATCTGATAAAATTATGTATTTAATAGTCATTGACACGTAATTTGAATAAACCTAAATGCAAATTAATTCTTCCGGATTCTCTATCAATACAACTGCTGTACGAAATGAAGTTTCCGTACAGTTGGCGGGAAGGCAAGAAAAGTATAGAAACAATCTCGTTCATCGTATTGAAATTGATGTTTTGGAAACTAGCTGAGACTACAAACTTATCGTCCTGTCTCTTGTCATCAAAATTACTAAGGATGCATACTGCTTGAACAATAAATAATGGCTCTAAAAGGTTGTTCAGCTCTTAAGAATATTTGTCGAATTTTGATTTGAGTGGCTAAAGCAGCTAACTGGTATGTTTCGAACTCAATCATACTAGTACGAATGTATTCACTCCTTATCTAAATACTGAATGTTTTGTGATGACTGATTATTTATTTTTCCTCCTTGATTTCTCATTTTTGTTAACCTTTTTTGTCATGCATTTGTCAATACCGATAGTTTGAATATTTGTTCGTTTGACACGATGCCGGTGAATGTCGATGATACACGTCCTTTTTGTAATTTCTTTTAGTAAGCAGCCTACATAAATGTCAGCCCATCCCTTTATCTCCAAAATCAACATTTTTAACCAAACGTTTTAAAATACATTTCAATAACTCTACATAATGATAAATATGTGAAATTGTTTGCTGTAATATCAATTATCCTAACTACCTTTTGAACTAGTATATGACAAGTTCCTTCTCTTCTAATCACTACTTCTCTAAACTAAATTCTTGCAAGAAGATTGATTTAAAAAAGAGGCGGGAAGAATTCATTTTGTACATTGGTTCATTTATTTACATACTGATTAAATCCAGTGTTTAGTAATTACGAAAATTATCAAACTGAACAATGAACAATTGAACACAAAATTACCAACAATTAATCGATACTATAAATATGCATTAAAATGAAAAGAAAAAAGTTCACACTGAATTAACATAACAAACAATATTTGAAATCAATATTGAATTTCTTTCTTTTGAATCCTATCCGAGATCTTACACCCTCAGCGGTATAAGTCACTGAAATACTTCGACCGTATAGACGTTCTCCTACATGGACTTCAATCCTTATCGGGTTACATGCGTTACATTAGATTAAGGAGTTATAAGCGACTGTCACCAGTTACAGTTGGTAGGTGTTCTAATCTAAAAACAGTCAGCTGAAACTTTATATTTTTACCGATTCACACTATTTGTTTGATCATGTTTTTTGGCGGGGATAAATACAAAGTTTGAGCTTTCATTCTCCTGAACTATTTATTCAGGTTTCCAGTTGTTTTGTTATATTGTGTACAATTAATATTATTTATCTGACTTTTCTATGTTATGTAATAATACTTTTTCGATAATTTGATTTTAGCGTATAATTATTCATCCATTGGATCTTTCTAAACCGAATGATGTCCGCAATTTTGGAAAACAATTTGCTAATAATAATGATTCACGTCTAGATATTTTGGTAATTAGCAATAATTGATTAATAGCTTCATTATTTCCATTTTGCTATATATATTTTTAAATTATGTTCTTTGCTACTGTAAATTTCATTTGTTTAATTGGTTACATCACTACAGTAAATATGGTACATGTGACTGAGAAAGTTCTTTTCTCTTCTAAATAGGAATTGATTAAGTTGTGTTATTATAATTTGGTCTAAATTTCACGTTGAATAAAGAAAATATCACATACAAATAATTTACAGATAAATTAACTTGATTTCTAAGTCTTTCATAAATATCTATGTCTATGAATGTATTGTTTCAGTTAACTATTCAGAACTGTAAAGTTTATTCCTATACCTCAGAGATATTTCAAATCAACTCTATTATATCCTTATATAAGTTCATAACCTTAGTTGGAAATTAGAGTGGGATACTGTCAACAGGAAAGATAATTAAAAATCGAAAAAAAATAAGTAAGGAAAAGAGACTCCCATATAAATTGCAAAAAGACTCCATCTGCAAAACATTTCAAAATCTTAATTGAAGACTACTTACTTACTTACTTACTTACTTACTTACTTACTTACTTACTTACTTACTTACTTACTTACTTACTTACTTACTTACTTACTTACTTACTTACTTACTTACTTACTTACTTACTTACTTACTTACTTACTACTTACTTACTTACTTACTTACTTACTTACTTACTTACTTACTTACTTACTTACTTACTTACTTACTTACTTACTTACTTACTTACTTACTTACTTACTTACTTACTTACTTACTTACTTACTTACTTACTTACTTACTTACTTACTTACTTACTTACTTACTTACTTACTTACTTACTTACTTACTTACTTACTTACTTACTTACTTACTTACTTACTTACTTACTTACTTACTTACTTACTTACTTACTTACTTACTTACTTACTTACTTACTTACTTACTTACTTACTTACTTACTTACTTACTTACTTACTTACTTACTTACTTACTTACTTACTTACTTACTTACTTACTTACTTACTTACTTACTTACTTACTTACTTACTTACTTACTTACTTACTTACTTACTTACTTACTTACTTACTTACTTACTTACTTACTTACTTACTTACTTACTTACTTACTTACTTACTTACTTACTTACTTACTTACTTACTTACTTACTTACTTACTTACTTACTTACTTACTTACTTACTTACTTACGCCTGTTACTCCTAATGGAGCACAGACCACCGACCAGCGTTCTCCGACCCAATCTGTGCTGGGCCTCCTTTTCTAGTTCTACCCAATTCTTGTTCATTTTTCGCATGTCTATTTCCATTTTCCGGCATAATGTGTTCTTTGGTCTTCCCCTTTTCCTTTGGCCTTGAGGATTCAATGTGAGGGCTTGTCTTGTGACGCAGTTAAGTGCTTTGCTCAATGTGTGTCCTATCCACCCCCAGCGCTTCTTCCTGATTTCTTCCTCCGCTAGGATCTGGTTTGTTCTCTCCCAAAGCCAGTTGTTGCTGATAGTGTCTGGCCAACGGATCTGAAGTATTTTGCGTAAACAGCTATTAATAAACACTTGTATCTTTTGGATGATGGCTTTCGTAGTTCTCCAGGTTCTCGGCTCATACAGTAGAACTGTCTTGACATTTGTATTGGAAATCCTGACCTTGGTGTTGGTTGGCAGTTGCTTTGAGTTCCAGATGTTCTTCATTTGTAAATATTCTGCTCCTGCTTTGCTGATGCACACCTCCACGTCTGCATCAGATCCACCGTGTACATCAATGTTGCTGCCCAGATATGTAAAGGTTTTTACATCTTCCAAATCTTCTCCATCCAGTGTGATTTGATTGTTGCATGTTATGTTGTATCGGATAATCCTGCGTTTCCCTTTGTGTATATTGAGACCTATTGCTGCTGACGCTGCTGCCACACTGTTCGTCTTCTCCTGCATTTTTTGTTGCATTTGGGATAGAAGGGCCAGATCATCTGCGAAGTCTAGATCATCCAACTGCATCTTAGATATCCATTGTATCCCGCGCTTCCCTTCAGACGTTGACGTCTTCATGATCCAGTCGATCACCAAGAGAAAGAGAAAGGGTGAGAGTAAGCAACCTTGCCTAACACCGGTCTTCACTTCGAACGACTTTATCAACTGTCCTCCATGCACAATTTTGCAGTGTAATCCATCATAGGAATTCCGTATGATATTGACTATCTTCTGAGGCACGCCGTAGTGTCGAAGAAGTTTCCATAGTGTTGTTCTGTCCACGCTATCAAACGCCTTTTCGTAGTCAATGAAGTTGATGTAGAGTGATGAATTCCATTCAATTGATTGTTCCACAATGATCCGTAGAGTTGTGATTTGGTATGTACACGACCGATTCTTACGTAATCCTGCCTGTTGGTCTCGAAGTTGGGCGTCTACGCAGTCCTTTATTCTGTTTAACACTACCCCATTGAAGGCTTTCCCAGGTATTGAGAGAAGAGTGATGCCCCTGTAGTTATCACAGTTGCTGAGATCGCCTTTCTTCGGTATTTTGATCAGAAGTCGTTCTTTCCAGTCTTTTGGTACTTGTTCCTCATCCCAAATCTTATTGAAGAGAATGTGGAGTATCCTTGCAGTTGCCGCTACGTCTGCTTTCAGTGCCTCTGCTGGAATTTTGTCTGGTCCTGCTGCTTTGCCACTCTTGATTTGTCTGATGACCATGCTGATTTCTTCAATTGTTGGTAGGCCAACATGGATTGGGAGGTCCGTGAGTGCTACTTCGATGTTGGGTGGGTTCAGTGGGGCTGGTCGATTCAAGAGTTCGTTGAAGTGTCCTACTCACCTATTTCGTTGTTCTTCAGTGTTGGTGATGATTTTCCTTGCTTCTCACTGTTGTTCTGGTTTACGGTTATTTCCAGAGAGTTTCTTTGTTATGTCATACAGTTCTCTCATGTTTTTTCTCTTGCAGCCTTTTCCACCGTCATTGCTAAATCTTCCACATATTTACGTTTGTCGGTTTTGATGCTCCTCTTCACTTGTTTGTTTACTTCTGTGTATTCAGCTTGTGCCTTGGCTTTTTCTGCTCTTGTTCGGCTGGTATTGATTGCTCAACTTCTTGTTGATGCAGATATGGTCGATTTGGTTTTGCGTAGTGTGATCCAGTGAAGTTCATGTGATGTTGTGAATGCGATTATGTGGGAATATAGTTCCGCCTATGACCACTTTATTGAAGGTACATCGGTTTGTTAACCTCTCACCATTTTCGTTCCTTTCTCCCAGTCCGTGTCGTCCATTCCATCCTTGGCATTGAAATCTCCCATCAGGATGGTCAAGTCCTTTGTTGGACACTTCTCGACGATTGACTGCAGACTATTGTAGGATTGATATTTAGCGTCTTCATTGTAGTCGTTGGTAGGCGCATAGCATTGGATGATGTTCATTGAAATGCCCTCTTTCTTTGTTTTGAAGGAGACTTTGATGATCCTTGGTCCATGAGATTCCCATCCTATAAGTGCATTTTGTGCTTGTTTGGACAGCATCAATGCAACTTTTTGTGTATGTGGGGCATTTTCTTCATCATGACCAGAGTATAACAGAAGCTCCCCTGAAGCTAGTCGTTGTTGTCCAACATGTTCCACTGGTCCCAAGCCCCTCTAGGTTGTATCTCCTCATTTCTGCTGCAATTTGGAAAACTCTCCCAGTCCCCCACATTGTACGAGCATTCCATGTACCTAAATAATTGGTTGCTCTGGTTGTCAGAAGGGGCATCGGCCTCGTGACTTCCGAAGGAACTCGGCTTTCATCGTGAGGTGTCATCACTCTTCTAAATGAAGACCTGACACCCAGGACAGAGTTTTAAAAGTTTGAATATTTGTTTTCTGGTTAGCGTTTTTTTAGCGAGTTAGTTTTCTACGGAATGGGGTCGCTAACCCCATGCCCAACCCTCCTCCTTTATCCGGGGATGGGACCGGCAGTAGCCCGAGGAGGGATTCCAGGCGGAGTTAATTGAAGACTTTAGATGCTATGTATTCTCAATCATATTAATTATAACTAGAAAATTATTTAGTTCTTTCGTAGGTCTAAAATCTACATTGATTTTATAATTTGTTTCTGTGTCTCACAATAGTTATTCCAAAACTCTGTTGATCGTATTTCCGAACATTAGACGTAAATTTAAATTATAATTAATTACAAGCAGCACGTGTGCTACCATGTTCTTCAGTTGTATGAAAAACAGAATCCACCACTATGTATCAATTAAAAAGTTGATTAATACTTCACCATGTATTGATTTCTAATCGGTATCTGTTCTTTAAGAGGAGATATTCTCGAATTCCTAAATAATCAGTGACATTTAATTTGACTGCATCTATGTTCTGACTATGTCACGACAATATTTTCTCACTATACCATCATGCGATTGTATTTAGAAATATCAGTCGAAAAGTTCGACTATGCATGACTATATTCGTTAATATTGGGCGAATAGATGAGAATTCAAAACTGCGAAAGATAAACTTTGATAAGTATATTTTTAACGTCAATATATTAAAAAGTGGTACATGATACTTTTATATTGTCCTAGTTTTTAACCTTTATTTCACTCATTAACTGTTGCTACATCTGATACGTTCGCACATTAACCAAATTGTTTGCAACTCCGATTTCAATGCAGCAAATTAAGCTAGTTCTATCTTCATCCCTGCCCGCTAAGTGAAGTAAAAAATCCAGATTGTGTAGAAGATTTTTTAATAAAGACCCCAGTAGGACTGGTTTTTACAGAGAGAATTGGCATGCTTATATTATGAAATACTAACATAAACATGGTAAAATGACATAGGCAACTAGAGAGAGTTAGTTTGTAGGTCATTTAGCCTCTAACCTATAATTGTTATACCTAGCTGAAGGGCTCGTATTAACATCTTTTTCTGCTCATAAGTTATCGTAACTAACTATAATCCTGTTATTCAGCTTTGTACCATAAACGTCCTGTGGTGCGTGCTACTTATATTGACATAAGTAGTATATAACGCGAGTCAGGAATGTAATGTCTGGTAGCAGAAGATTGGGAAGATCAAGAAAGGAAGAACGGGAATAGAAAGCAACTAGTATAGAAATGCAAGAACAATCAAGTCCGAGACAATTATTGAACATTTTGCAAATTAATTATTATAGTATGGTTTTTCTATTTTAGCAAGTAACTATGTAATGTTATGCTAAATGTAGTTCGGTTGTCCTCACCTGTGTTCACCTTCGCTACAGTCCTAGTTTTGTATGTATTGAGTTTGAATAATCATGGTACCTCATGGTCTTGTATTTTGTCTATATCATGAGGCGAGCCTTGAATTCATTTAGCTGGTGTCCTGTTTGGTAGTTTTGAGATCTGTTAAAGGATTGTTACTATTGTAGCAAGCCCATTTGGCCACTGTATCACTTGTCTATTCATTGTAACTCAGACTCTTAATTCACTATGTTAATTTCGGTGTGTATGATCGAATGCATGTCTGTAAATTAACCCTTAAGCTATCCTCCTATTGGTTTCAATGTGCAGATAATCGATAATTTATCCGCACCCGATTAACTCGCAAAAATATATATGGGTTTTAAACAGACACACACTCACTCTCTCTGTTTCATCGTATGCTTGCTCACCGTACGCTTGTGGATTGTTATTATTCATTAACAATAAACTATCTCTATAACTGGTGTTCAGGCTTCTCAATAATCTCGAGTAAATTCGCAATTCTACTAGGAGATTAAGCCTACCTAAAATACTCAGTTACGGGATATTATTTATTGGAGTCAGATATTGAGGACATTAGCCTCAACACTATGCCTAATAACTGAGTTTATGGAACTCAAGTTAACAACATAGGTAAAACAGCGGAACTTGAAGATATTTACCAAAGAAGTTGATAACTTTTGGTTTCATTTTACTTTCCGTCGTTATTTTTCAGTGTTGAAGAAGTCATATCAGTAAATATAGTTTCACCATATGGTTGCTCAGTTGTCCATAGTTGTTACTCATGGTTTTGGTTAACTTCGTGTTTATCGGATTTCGTAAACCACTTGACTGATTCACAATTTCAGTTTACAACCAGTCCATTTTTACCAACCTATGAATTTTTTTATTTTAAATGCTTACATTAATTTATTACCGCATAATTGCTATTTGCTTTCATATATCTATCTTAAACTACTATAGATTAATAATGCTGGCTGCATGATTAATGAATATAAAACTGATGAAAACGGCATAGAAGCTAATTTCGCCACAAATACACTTGGTACTTATATACTTACTGAAAGTCTAATACCTGCATTAAAAAAATCACCTGATGTAAGTATGAACAATAATTTGATAACATTTTGTGGTTTATAGATTATGTAGAACGATTAGCTTTAAATCGTAACTGTAACCCAGTCAAGTAATTTTTCAACTAAATTGTCCAACGTTATATCAGTCCAAATATTTCGTTGATATAAAAGGGCATGCTATTGAATTAATAAGTTTACAATGTGATCAGTTTTCGAAATCGGTAGTATATATATGTCGGTTTCAAGCGACTGTTACAGAATTTATATTTAAATGTGTATTGTATTGATAATTCACTTTGTCTCAATACTGAATATTAACTATTTTCAAATACAAATATTGCAATTTTCAGACGTCTAGGTAGATTACTACTAAACTACTCACTAAATCTAATCTCTATTTTAAAAAAAAATAAATTATTTACTGGTGTTTTTTGTCTGTTTGTTAGTTTTCATGTATATCTTGCACCTATGTTGTTATTACATGTTGGGCACGAAATACAGTTAACCAATGTCATGTATATCAGGTACTTCTTAGTTATGATCGAGTCCTATCGACCAAGTTGCAAAGTGGCCGCCAGTCTATTTGATTCGACATTGCGTGCACTATGTTGAGATAAGATGGTGGTTGGATGTAGTCAACAGGATACCCTGGACCTAGGTTTCGTGATACTTGGCACTTGTCAGCAAGGTTTACCAGTAATTTTGAGGAAATTGATCGATAGGATTTGATCGGCACTAAGAAGCACCTAACATACATGACATTAATCACTACGCAGTGATCAATCATTTGTAAATACATCTCAGTCCTACAGGAGGTCAGACGCCGCCCGGATAGCTCAGTGGTAGCGTCTTTGACTGTGAAGCTGGGTCACACGGGGTCGAATCCGTTAGGCAGCATCTGGTCCCTAAAGCTTACGGGTACACCTTGCTGACAAGTGCCAAATAGCACGAAACCCTAGCTCCAGGGTTTCCTGTCGACTAATACCAGCCACTATCTTAAGAAATATGCTATTTGAGCGACAGTTGGTGTTCTTAGTCAAATTACGCACGCAGCTGCTGAATCACTCATAATTTGGAGATGCGATGGAAGTGGATGGATTAATTTCTCATTTGCACACTGAGCTGGAAAATGATTGCATCCTCCATGAATCCTCGACAAACCGTATTTCAAACGATACAGCAGTCACTCAAGATCCGCCCAGTGGTCCAGTACTCTCCATTTCAGAATCATGCCCGGTAATGGATTCAAACTCCATTATCCCCGAAACAGTATGTGCTGACAGTGACTTATCCAGCTCACAAACAGACGCCCTGTTAAATGTTCATAGAATTGTCGCAGTAACCACCCATGAAACAGAAAACAAATCGAGCAGTACACTGAATCCAGCTGCTCCAAATGGATCTCATCATTCAGCGACAGAAGTTTCTGACGAATCTAATTATCGAGATTCTCTTTTACCAGAAAATATGTCAGATGCATCAAATGATGATCAGAAACCTAATACAATTTTGATAGATGCTGATTACCTTGATGATCCATTATCTACAAACGAGGTTCCCAATAAATTTGGTCACAATATTTCAGAAGAATCAGACTTCGATTACCTTATATCAAGCGTCGTTCAGCCTCACCACTTAGTCACTTTCAGTCGATTCTCTTCTCAGTGCGACAAATATGTTTTAAATAAATTCAAATTAATTATAACTTGGGAATATGAGGATCCAGCACTGTTTCGTGGGGGGGATGAACCCGGAAAATTTAAAGTCCGGATATCAACACCGGATCTTCGAAAAAGGGGAGGTGTGTTAGGTCTCGATAAACACAATGAATGGTAACTTTGGGATCCTTTTATGGACCAATAGTAAACGTATATTTTTATCATATAATTGTTAAATAACTAAACTATTCATATTCATATCCCTCTTATTATAAACTTTATTTTGACCTATGAACCATTATTATACGTTTTACCATTCTTGAATTATGCCCTGTCTATTAGTCACTGCCTCATACATTCATAGTCACATTTGGTCAAATTTTGTGCAAATGTTATTTTCTATTTCGTGCTACGTTGTGGTCTGTTTGATTGGTATATAAACTCAGTATGTTTGAAATATAAGGATTTATATTAAAGAGGCTGTGACTGGTGTTCTGGATTTAACTGGATGGGCTAGGCGGAAAGCGGGACCAGTCAGGACTCTGGGCTTCTCGCACGTGTTTTACGCGTCCTTGGTCTGATCGATAAGTCACTGCTCTCCGATTGGCGGTCAAAAGATATAACAAGTACACACATTTATTTATCAATGATTGTTCACTATATATCTATCAATATAAAAATCATGTAAAAGAAAATCAAAATAATAAACTGAAATATAAATGAGCTACTTATTAAATACGTAGAATGAACTTCCACAAAATGTGAAAAGGGAACGATTGACAATGTTACAAGCATTGATATAAGACAAATGGAAAAATATCTTTTAAAAATCATATGAACAGACCTTTGAATGCTTTACATATCCTTTACAAAAAACTCACTGGGATCTTCTTAGCTACTGTTTAAATTCCAATATTTTGTTGAATTCACTGGTTCTCAAGATTTTATTTTAAACACATACAGAAATAAGAAAAATACTATGCCGGCATTTAGAAATTTTAGTGACGATGTTACTTAACTATCTTACAGCATTTCATGACAATGGAGCTATATTTAGAAATTTTAAGAGATTATACTGTGTGTTAAGCTAACTTTCATTGGTTAGATATGAAGTATTTTATTTTGTCATCTAATTGTAATCTCAGTGCTTTGAAGTGATTTTTCAATTAACATAATTACTTTTATAAACAGCAAACCTTCTGGTAAAGTCAGCTAGTTATTCGATCAGACATTTTTTATAATATCCAGTCGATCGAAAATAAAATCTTAATATATACTACTTATGCCTGTTACCCCTCGTGGAGAAGCTTGGGCCGCCCATTGACACCCTCCATCGAACTCTGTCTCGGGCAATCCTTTCCTCTTGTTTCCATTTGCTATTCACCCTTTTGATGTCTTCTTCCACTTCCTGACGCATTGTGTTCATTGGTGTTCCTCTTATCCTCCATCTGTAGCTCTTCTACAGCTACTGCTGATTCTAAGTCCTGGTTAAGAAGGAACGTTGGGCATAGGGTCAGAAACCCCATCTCATGTAACAAAACGTTGCTAAAAAACTAACCAGAATATCTGAATATATAGTCAGTGTCAAAATTCTATTCATGATAATGATCAATATTGGAGCTGGAATATCAACTTGTTAGTAGTTTTTCATTCTATTTATTCAACACTTATAAAATTCACATATATGATTATTCTCTTTTACTGTTAACACTTCTCACCTATCGTATATAGGCTCGTGTTATTACTGTTAGCTCAGGTGGAATGTTAGTACAGAAATTGGATCATGCCGATCCAATGCTTACAACTAGGCACAACAAATTTGATGGAACAATGGTTTATGCACAAAATAAACGTCAACAAGTTGTTATGACTGAAATGTGGTCTAAGAACTATCCAGAGATATTCTTCTGTTCAATGCATCCTGGTTGGGCTGATACACCAGTAAGTTTTACTGGCATTATAGTTTTTATTAATTCTGATAAAAATTAGTTGAATAGCAAGTTGCTAAGCGTTCATTTATTGTTCTTTCACAACAATATAAACGACAATCATCCGTGTTGTAACGGATGGGACTGCAGGTTTTTGATAAGCAGCGTTTATATCGATCGCTTCTGTGACAGTGGACACGTAAACATGTAAGGATGACCTAGTGCCCTGATTGGCCCTGCTTCGCTGTCTGTCCCAGCCAGTTGAGTCAAGAACACAAGTCACAGCCTCGGAGTTATGAATCATTATATTTCAAACATACTTTGTTTATATACCAATCAAGCATACCACATCGTACCATAAAATAGAGAACAACATTTACAAAATATTTAACAAGTGAAGTAAACATCGCCCAATAGGAAATGTACATTTAAGGTCCAAGGCCACCGTAGACTTAACACAATAATTATTGGTATATTTTCCCGACTATCCTAACAATCCGTTTATCTATTACTAGATAATCTCTTTCTATGCGAGAGATCTCAGTATTACTTAAGCTAACGTTTATTAAATAAAAACGACTGATTTCATTCAGAAACTTTCGAATTCTCCTACAACCGAGATATTACCTAACAGGTGTTTCCTACGTTCCGTTATCATTCACTACTTTAATTCTTTAGATAAAGTTGATTACGATCTCGTGGATAACGTGGTTCCCTTAAAGGTCTTAAATATATTTAGCTGTTTTGTAACTAATATAATACGATACTTCATATCAGCGCTTATTATCCACAATTAGGACTTATCCACGCCTTTTGTGTGATTTCATTCTGTGACCATTTTTCTCCGTACCACTTTAGATATTCTCTCTTTTAAATATATAATTTCAGGCTGTCGCACTGTCTATGCCATCATTTTACAATAAAATGAAAAATAAACTAAGAACACCAGAACAAGGTGCAGATACAGCGATCTGGTTAGCAGCGGTACCAAATGTGAGAAGATTCCAAAACGGTTCTTTCTTCCAAGGTTGTTTTTAACAAATATCTCATTTTTCCCATTACGCCTCAAAACTTTGTTGTTCTTGTTTTCTTCATAGTTATCGTCATCATTAAAAATCTAGCGCATAATTTGGCACATTCGGTACTTGAAGGCTAGGCATAGGCTTTCTAACCCATTCCTTATCCCCGAAAATCTGCAATTAATCCCTGACGAGAACAAAAAATAGAAAATATGAGAACACTCTCCATTTATAAGGTTTTTTCAGGTGTAAAACAAGAATATTTTCGAGTTTATATGTGCCATTAATTGTTTAGAAGATCCTAAAAACATGCTGAAATCAGTGACAAAAGTAGTTGCTGTTCAATAAAGGTATAACACAATCCGTCTTTTTTCTCTAGGACTTCAGAAAGTATCTATTAACCCCTAATTTTACAAGGTGTTTAAAGCCTTTTTCCAGCTTTTGAAGACTGGTGAAAATAATTATGAATTGTTTATTGAGCTATGTATTAGTGTGTTTAAGTTGTGAAGCCGCAATATATGAAAATGAAAGTTTTGGTTCCTTAGTACTTTTTATACTACAAGTTGATATTCACTGAAATTAACTTTTGGAATATCTGCATCGTAAAATATTTATATTTTACAAATATGGATTCTCTTAATATATGACCTTTAAATATCATGAAAGTGAGTCTTTAATCCAATGTATACAGCTTTGCTGACTGACATTTTCGTTCACTGTCTTTTTACATACGTATTACTGTTGCATACGATGTAGTCGATTATTCTCATATATATAATGATTAAAAAATTGTAATCATTTTGTTCTCTCATTTTGCAGATCGTCAAGTAGTTAGTCAACACCTAAAATTGGCTTGTACACATTCAAAGGATGATGAGAAACGTAAATTCATGTCTAATTTAGCTGATATTGCAGCACCTTTTCTTAAATAAACTCTACCCTAATCGGTAAAAGAAAATTATCACCGCTTATAATTAAAACAGATGCGTTTGGGTTTTATTCTTCATGCTGCGTAGTTATGAGCTATTTTTGTTTTAGTTAGTTTGTCTTTTTTTACTACAACTAATTTATTCTGTGCTTCAATTTATTTTATAACTTTAGTTTTTTTTTCTATGTGGATGTGTATTTAAATTCAGGGAGTATAAATAGTGTGTTGCTCAATTGTGATATTATATAAAGGATCATTTGTCGTTGTTTCTTTTTCCGTATACTCCATAATGTGTGAGTTCTACATGACAATAAAAGACACTTTCAATATTTACATTAAAGTTTTAAATATTCAATCCAACTTTATATAAATTTATATCTCTCAGGGCTATTCTTTTACAAATTCTAATGGAATACCATTACTAATTTTCTCAATATATTTATTTGTTTTTAAATATATTTATATATTTTGAATTCTAAGAATTAATCGCTCACTGTCACTTCCAAATTTGACAATCTGAGACTTCCATGCGTCAGTAATCAATTGAAGAAACCAGTTTCCTCATGGACACATCCTCCGTTTATCCGTACAAATCTCGGACAACATTAAATGCAAACAGATCCAGAGCTTTAGTAATGTCTGGGGGACCTAGTGAACGTCGTCGTTTTATTTCAGTGTCAGAATCTAAGAGATTATGCACGATATCTGAAGTCTTTTTAATAAGAACATTAGTGAACAAAGCAAACAACAAGACTTGCCATTAATTCATCTATGAGGATGGAAGTGATGATGTCTGTGAATTCGTTAGGATTCTTCCGTATTTAATTTCACTTATACGGTTTACTAATCATGGCTATGTATCCAGAAAGGCTGTACGTAAATAATTTTTTAATGATCAACTACAGGTCTTGATGGGACATCTGTCTTAAGGATTTTTTTCCAGCCCATTGAATCTACAAGGGTTGGTGCTCTTATGATAGAGATGATCCCAGTTTGTATTTTAGGGTCCGTAGCATTTTGACTGTCTCGTCTTTTAGCCTACTTGGAATAACTCTGAATTTGTTGATTATGGTTTTTTGCATTATTTATTGAAAAGAAGAGTAGTCTCAATTGGTAGGACCATTGAAATTCAATGTAAGGTAATGGGAACCATGATGCCTACATGTAATAAGTGATCAAATTTTTAGATTTCATGTTCTGACATCGACATAGATGTTTGCGACCATCTAATCAATTAACCTAAGTTGTAACAGTAAACTTTTCTTTGTTTTGGAAAGTGAGCGCTTACGAGCTATGTTTTATAAGGGTCATGAAAACTGTAGAACTGAAGAATAGACTTGAAAACGACTTCTGAGGGATACTTCACAAGAAAACCCGAAATTTACTTTAATTCAACTAGCACGGTAAGATAATGTCTGAGATGTTTATCGCAGGTCGGTTTCCTTATTACTAGCCAATATTTCCTCTTGAGCCACATGTTCCAGTTTATTGCGTGTGATCGGTACGTGTTGATTTTGATGAGAATCGGCAAAATGTTCGAATTTCAGTGACCTGCTTGCTAAATTATTTGTTTGAATTCCGGTGACATTTCGCTGACCCTACACACTTTGTGTTACTATCCCAAGCAACACAAAAAGGGGAAATAAAGCGGACGAAAGGGGAAATGTCGCTTTTTCGCCTTTACGTCGGTTATTTAGAAGAAGTGTCGCTTTTTCCCCCTTACGTCGTGTATTTGGGGGAAATTTGTCGACAGTTCTACGTAACGTACAGTGTTTGAATGAACCGCATCGGGAACTGAAGTTTTCATAAACTTCGACAAATTTAGGCACCGCTTAATAAAAAAACAAAAGTATTGTCATAGAAACAATGTACAAAATACGGAACCAGGCTTTCGGTTGATACGTATATGGAGTGACTCCGTTTGTTGTTTAGTTAAAGTGTTCCGACATGCTTTGGAGCCATCACAAAAAACTTACGTAATGCAGGTGAGTGACGTGCTCTCAGGATTTTAGGTTCATTGTGACTGATTACCTTATTAGGCCAATAATATGACTTTTTCTGATGTCAGTGAGAATGTTCGTAGACGTAGGGCAACTGTGAACTTGTCACGTTCCCTTGGTTGTCACAGAACCACTTATAATCGGAGGTGGAATAAAATGAGAGCTGCTTTATTGAAAAAATATCACTTTCTTTCGTTCAGTGAGTTTGCTAATGAAAGCACCCTAAAATGTAACTGAGTCTAACAATGTTGTTTACTTAATTGATAGAAGTAAAGAGAGAAGTCAGTTGTAATGAAAGTACTTCGATTAGTACACCGTCCACTAGCAACATCAATCAAAGGCTTTAACATAATAGTGGTATGAACAATAGATTTGTACGTGAATATCTATGTTATAGGATATACTGAAGTGAACTTGTGCTCTCCAAAATTCGTGAATCGCAAAGAACAGATGAACGACTTTATGATGTATCTAATATCAAATACATCTCTGAGCATAAAAGATGCTGATCGAGTTCTGTATGGTCTAAGATTTCTTATCCCGGACATACCCAAAAGCATCAGAGGCGTTCTGAAGACATGTCCAAGTGTTCAACCAAAGTTCATCGGCAGTGGGGTTTACTACCATCTAGGATTGAAAACGAATCTGCTAAGATACGTTGTGTACTAGTGATTTTGACTCTTTAAACTTATATCTCAATATAGATGTACTTTCTATGTCTAGAAGCTCCAATCAACAGTTATGGCCTCAACGGATGAAAACACTTTGCCACTTAACACTGAGAAGCCAAAAAGGTCTGTACAATAATCTTACTTACATTTCCTAGAGGTGTAATGAAGCGTAAAGAAGATTTTCTTTACAATTCAGTCGACATGGATGTGGCTGAGATGCAGGTTGGGAATAGCCGCGTACAATATCCCAAATTTCGTGTTTTCGACAAAGTGATATCGCCAATCGCCAACTACGTTTAATTACTATTTAGATATTCACTATTTAGTTCAACACAATTCGAGACATCACCATCCACATCGGAATGTAAGCATGTTACTTGGCACCTCTTCAAAACGAGCACTACAGAAATGCACGTTTTACAGCTGCATACGAAGTAACCTATATCTATTACTTAAACTTCAGGTGCCTTAACTCATCGCTTTTTGTCATCCTCTGTCAACGAGAAAGACCTTGGTAAGCTATACGACATAGCGACACAAGGTTACTTTCACGACCTCCGAGACAAGATGATAAAACGAAATAGAAGAAAAGAAAATCAGGTAGGTACTAATTTAAAGTGATAACCTCCCTACGGCTCTATAGTTACAGTCAACAATACTAACAAACATAACCGTAAGTTCAGCTTCAAGTATTTGGCTGTGCAAAAGCATGTCATTGAGATATGGTTGTGACTATTTTTTTGTTTTTTTTAAATTCAGAATTCACAGGACGACTACCTCAATTCTGATTAGTCCGTGCAATTGTTTTGATGTTGTAACTCGATTTCAATAAACATTATTCTTTCAAACAGCTTACTCTTTTACCTACATGGGAAACCGTTGAAGTGTTGAGAATGTGTTTTTGAGTTTCAGTGAACTTTTGATTAAATGCACATTTCTTATGAATAAATTATAACCTGTTCGTTCTTTTTCAGATAATTTCAAATAACAATGAATTAGCAATTGCATTGGATATGCATAACAATCGATGCTTCAGCTTGTGCTCTACTGTTGTACAATAATACGCTTTTCTTTTTCAATAAAATTTTTGAAATATTTACCGCTTTTCCACTGCATTGCAGATATATTTTGGTCTGTTGTTGAAAATAAAGGCGAACATAGGAGACCTTTGGGGTTCTGTCGATGGATAGAAAATAGTAGGTAATGTGTGTATTTAGGCGAAAAGTGGACAATTAAGCGCATAAGTAGGCAATTCGGCGGATATTTAGGCAAAAATGCGACAATTCAGCGGATATTTAGGCGAAAATGCGACAATTAAGCGGATATTTAGGCGAAAATGCGACAATTCAGCGGATATTCAGGCGAAAAGGCGACAATTCAGCGGATATTTAGACGATAAGTCGGTAATTTGTCGACAAAAAGGCGAAAAAGGGGAAAATCCGCATTATTTCCCCCGGACAGGCGAAAAAGGCGACATTCTGATGCGTTTTCCCCTTTATTTCCCCTTTCGCTACCAAAGCATATACCCCTTTATTTCCCCTTTTTTCCCCTTTATTTCCCCTTTTTGGGATGGTTTCGGGATTCTCTCTTATGAATTCTGTAGGTCAGTAAAATGTCACGATGCTCTATCTTTATCAACTGGTGGTCAAATTACTGAATAGTGAACAGTCAATTGATTTTCGTTAAGGTTAAGGAAAATCAACAAACATCAGTTTGTAGTGACTTATTTTCATCACGAGAACACGAATGGTTTAATGAAAACAATTATTATTATGACCAATTTTACCAGTGACTGTTTAATGTGCTCTTTGTTTAACTGTGCTTCGGTTGTGTCCACGCGCGAATCCAGTTACGTTCTGTAACCAAGCTTGTATCCTGGCACGATCTCGGTATTCTTTCGATACCACGAGAGCGCCAGCAAATATATCTCGCCTTGGCCCATTAAATGACTTCTGGTGTTTCGCTTCCAGAGGATTTTATGGAAATCCTGGCACTCGTTCCATTGTAGTGGTGTTTATAGTCAGTTACGACTGGAATACTCGCTACAAGTTAATTGCATGTCACGGACTGATCTGTGTGTTAGTGGTGGCTGACTGTTTTTTTGTAGCCAGTCTATTTATTACATTTTCGTAATAACGTACTTAGTGTTGCGCGGTCCTTAAAATGGCCATAGTACTCGGATACGATGAAAGGGTATTGAGCGATAAGCACTAGCCGTGCAATGTGACTTCGATGTAAGTTGGTTAGTTGCATCTTGCTCGTCTCACTCTATTAGGCTCCCAACCATTCAACAGACATCACGTATGTTGGTGATCTAAAGTCAATGAAAACTCAGGCATTTTTGGAGACAGCATATTATTTTCACAAATAACCAAGAAACCGTCTTGCACCTATCTTTATCTACGCTTATTCTCGTTTATAGTATCCACTTGTTACTAAAAACACTTATGATCTGGAGTGTTCAATTTCTGTGAATAACGAAAAAATTTAACAGGATGATTGCTCTAAAGTTTTGTGGCTCAATGAATTGAAGATTTCTAGGGTTTTTTCCTGAAAATATCGTTCAGTGTACTTTATTATTGGAATCCGAAAAATTCCTCTACGAAGCGCGGTATTTCGAGAGTGTGCGGTATCAGAGAGGTTGTTGTGACCTCGTGCAGGCAGTTATCCCCTCCATTTAAACACCTGTTTCTCCTTCTAATATCTTTAGCTTAGTGAAAAAAAGTACGAAGTAGCTTTTGTCAACTATTGTTTGTTTATATTGCCATACTTAAATGCATGTGACTTACAGATGTATAATTCAATGTTATATCAGTTTTCAAGTGAATAAAAATTTATCTTGGTTGCACTTTTTCTGCGACTTAAGATTCTTGAGGACATGTCGGATATATCCAAAGTATAACAGTTGGGCTGTTTATTTTAGATTTTGATAATGTATAAAGTGCTTACTTTTAGAGCTGTACAATATACCTTAATCCAACGGTGTACATTTCACATAGTTTTCTAAATCACACCGTTCATCATTTATTCAGTTTTGTTTAGATTTGTACTTTTTAAGTGCTTCAAGCTGATTAAAATAACGCAGAAGTTACTCGTCTTATGGCCACAATCGAGTCAGCTTGACTGCGTTAAATATTAACCTGCATAGTCATATGAAACTTTGATAGGTCTCTTGAAGAGCAAATTCAGGATAACATGTTTGGTTTCTGACTTCGATGTAGATGCGCTGTCGGATTATTTCATTCCCTGTGAGTTTCAATCACACTAGCCTTATGGCAACACGACGTTTTTTCAACGGAGAGGTTCTGTGGATGTAGCCACCACCAAATCGTTAGCTATGTCTCAATCAATGTACCTGAGGTTTATACAATTTATTTGATTTTCAGTTGCTAAGACAAATTTTTCGGGTATGATAGTAATAAATTATTCTATTCACAAACTAGTGAACGAAATGTGGGTTTATGTCTTATAAAACCACATTGGTTGTGAATGTATTGATTTTAGGATTCGATAGGCGATTTCGAAATCCGATCTGGTTTCAAAATTGATCTCTCTCAACGTCAAATTGGGACGATTTATCGGTAGTCTAAGTGCCATTGTTAGTAGGGCGGCTACATACTTTATATTTTACAAACCGAGGGGTAGCTAGTCTATTACTTTTGCCTTTTACCCGGAGCACTTGTTGCTTCAGTGTGTTATCTGTATTGGAATCTTCAGGAAGTAAATTCTTTATTGTTTCTTGTTGGTCTAGTTTTTCTTATCCAGAAGTGCAACGTAAAAATAAATAAATATAGCCCCTGCTTTACTAATTAATTTCGGTGCATTCACTTCACAAATTACGGTAGAGGTCCCATAATGACATGTACTTTTGTATTTAATGCAAGTGGGAAGCTTAATATGGTCTGCGCTTCCTTATCAACGGTTATTTTTGAGCTATAATCTATCTGTACATATCTGTGCCTAGCCTTTACTTCAAAACACCATGTTTTTTAAAGCGTCAAAAGCAGCAAAATTTCAGTGAGCCTTTTTGTTTCTCAATGGACAGCAAATTTTTCAAACGGAGGACAATCTTTACCTTTCTCTGAAAAAAGTTACGTTACTCGACTATATTCCTGTTCTTAAAAAGCATAGTCCACTTTCGATCAATACTCGAGTCGGTTCTCTAATCTTCTTAGAAGCTCTGTAGCTTTCTTTCGCAACCTTAGTCTACTGCAGATTAGGACTAACCAAGTTTTTACTGGGAAGACTATGGTAACACTTGGTAAAAAGATTATTGGAGTGTTAGCTATTTGCGAATCAGTGAATAAAGGATTGTCTTACGTAGTCTCTGTAGGAAATTAATAAATCAAGGGATAAAAGTGTCTAAAAGCTTATTTCCGTTAGAATTCTATTTTCAGCAGCTAAAGACTTTATTTCTCTATGTATTGCAAAAAGTGTTGTGGAATAGCACTGTGTATAGCTACTATGTTGCAACATCCCAGAGTAGTAGAATTAATATCAGCAGCAGTACAACATATTAGGTATAGAAGGAAGAAACAAAAAAGTGTAGAGGGTTTTCGGTCCGAATGATCTAAGGAGAGATAAAATGTAAGTTACTCTCATTCACGTCACTCAGCGGTTGTCGTGCAAATTTGAAGCGGGCAGTCTAAACTTACGTATATGGCCCAGTTCAATTGTTCGTGGCTTCATTAAATTATCCAAAACTAACTACTATGATATCAACATTGGACTAAAAATTACATTCAAATGTTACAGAGTAAATACGGTCCTCTTCAGTTTTTCTCATCTTTTCTATTTTCAATAAGGTAACTGACTCATATGCCATGGTTAACATATATACGTTACGTGATATTACACTAGTCACTTCAGTGCAGTTACACAAGATGATCTATAATGAAATTTGTTTACTTGGAGAAATAAACTAGACGTTTGTTGTGGCTCTTTTTTAATTATCTCACTTTTTCAGCAAGTTAATGTTTAAATTTAGTTTGCATATCTACTGTCATTTGAAATTCTTGCGACATATAAGTAGACATAGTGAGTGACATAATTGTACGAAAGTACTACGGATGACTATGATCGATAAAAATAAGTGGTCTTGGTCAGTTATTCTTAACTCCAACAATATCAAAATAATCTAGACGTAAACGAGTTGATCGACTAGGTTTTGTAGTGTTGGGGACAAATAGTTATTTCCAACAAATTCACCAACCGTTACTTGGGTTCTGAAAAAAATAACCACTTCAAGCATTCAACTATAGTAAAATTCAGTGTACATGATCCTAGTTTAAGCAGTTCTTCTTGAAAACTGAAGGGTAAAAAGTACTACGTCATACCTGCATGGATTATTCTGGCTTTTGAACAGACCAATTAGTTTGTTTCTTTTGAGTCATTATCCACATGTTATGACATTGTCGTTCATTCAGTTACAACCTTGACCGTTTTTTAATGATTGCAAGTAAAATAACATATTAAATGATTTTGTTTTATAAACGTACATACAGTTTACTAACTGCTATTAATTCCAGATTTTTTATTATTCTTTAGATGAATCCTCATCGATTTTCGTGTAGTGTTTGCAATATATGGTGTGACACTGAGAATGTCCTACGAGCTCATGAAACGGGGAGAAAACATCGCTCTAAATGTCTTGCTTTAGACAGTTTAAACATAGTGGATCATATTAATTATCCCCTAAAAGTTTCCTTACCAACACTAGTTACTCCTGATTCGGGCTCACCGAAAGATTCATTCTTAGATACCACCACTTATTCTACAGGGCCAACGAGAAATTCAATCTGTGATCAAGAATCCTCTTCATACGTAGGTTTCATTGATTCTAGTTCAAATTGGACAAAGTCAGACCAGTTATCTTCAGCTTCCGAAATTTCCTTTACCTGCAACTTATGCGGTATACATATGAATTCTTCAGATCAATATACTTCTCACCTTCGTGGTCGCAAACATCAAAGTAAAATAAATCTTAATTCAGTTTCCAGTCTGTCTTCAAGCGATACAGCAGTAAGATATGGCACAACTTGTTTTTATTCGTTTGTATCTTTCCTGTTTTGGGTATGAATAAAACCAATTACACCAATAAATAAATAAATTCTCTAAGTTAGTAAAAGAATTAAAAATGTATCTCGGTTTTGACTCCCAATACCCCACATCACAACTAGATAGGAAATGACAAGCATAGAAGAAGAATTGATACATTAGGTGGAAAATTAAAAAAATATGGTTCAAGAGGAAGATATATAGTGAGTTCAGTTGTGATCTATGGAACCCATCTCCTACCACAGATTATGGGTATTACGCGTGACAGTTTTAGAGAGTCTACGTCTATGTACAACCTAAACCGACATTCAGGAGATTAATTCCATGTTTTGACACTACCACCCATAGATTTTTAACCTATTCTTCCTCCGATTATTGCTGCGAAATCCGTAAATTTGTTAATTAATTAATTACTCATGTTGACAAATTAACGTATAGAATTTGGTGGTTCATAAACAACTGAATAAATTAGAAAGCACTATCTTATATCATGGACTTACAGTGGTGGATTAATGCACTGTTATAAATTCACCGGAATCGAACAATGAAATTTTATAATACCGTTAGTTCGGATTTTTAAGTGACAAATTTTCACTGATTGTTTATATCACTGGTTCTCTGGGCTATTGATCTCGTTGATTTCATATCCCTATGCTGATTTGAATTGTGACAATTTAGAGCAACAGATATCTGCACGAGATTCTACGTTAGTTGTAACTAACTGAAGTACAAGTTCGTATACTGGAATCGGAACCACAGTTTATATATATATATATGCCCTGCTTCGGCCGAGAGTGAGAAGAGCCCACCATCCCTCTCGAACTGCTCTCATACGGCCACGCGTATACAGCCTCTGCCAGGCAAGTCCTACTCACTGCCTTCTCGTGGCTGGAGTGTTGTTTACGAAATTAAGAGGACAAAAAGCAAATGTCCGGCGCTTTAACCGGGCCGGTGGGCACTGTGAGTCCACCTAAGGGAGTTGAGAAACCCTGATTCCAAATCAGTGGTGTACATAGGCTCCAGCATCCTGAAGGAACAAATGGCGTATGAACCAATCGTTGGTCACCGGCTACCATGGGACTGCATCTCCTGACGTTCCTCCACTGCCCTGTAAATCAGACCTTTAGGTCGAAGGCTGCGGGTGTGGGCCCCTAAGAATACCACCTGCTTCGGTCTGGGCACACGGACAGTATCACAGCCCATACAAAAATCGAATGATTTATGTGGCGCATATGCATTTGGTGCCCTCTTGTACCAATGTTTATGTGTTTAAATAAATAATAAAATGACTTGTGTCCCGACCGTTGTTGCTACCTTGACGTGGTGGTCGGGCTTGCCTATCGTGATGAAGCAACCGAGCTATACTGGATGGAACAACTGTTTCTCAAGGTCCTACCATGTCAGACAGGTCGGTTGAAGAGCAGTAAAACTAAAAGCAGCAAACCCAAGGTCCGAAGGCGAAGTCGTACTGCTAACTGTACAGAGGTGTGACAGCAGTAAGGTGTTTCCTTCAGACAACCAGCATGACAGCGATGCTGCCTTCCCATAAGGAGGGGTGGGGTCAGAAAAGGTCGACCCTAAAAATGCACACCTCACCTTATCTCACGGATATCCGTCTCCGGCGGTAAGGTCTCAACAAGTACGGAGCTAGCACAAAAATTACCCATAATAAGGTCGTGTGTGACCGACCTCAAGCAGTTGTCCCTTGGGCACTGCAGTCACACTCTCAGGTCACTGAGACCGCCTCTAATCCAATTTCCTTTTCAGGTACCTCCAGAACAACCCTTCCACGGTGTGGGTAACCGGGAAGTGATAATCGCCCTCATACCTCTTACAGCACTCAAGACCACTGTATTTATAATCAACCTCCGTCTTCACTTCCTATTCCTCCTCCTACATCAACTTTCACATCTAAACTTCCTTTTTTCGGCTTCCTCCTCAAATGTCACCATAGCCGACGATTCTAGTGCACAAAACACTGTCCCAGGTCTACTGAAACCTCGCTCCATACTACACATTGGAGCCCTCAACGTACGCACCCTATGTCAAATCGGTCAACAGGCTTCCTTGGCTAGAACCCTAGAATCTCGTACCATTGATGTATGCTGTGTCTCTGAAGCACGCATACAGGATCCCAGTGTGGTCATTCACTTGACCTAACCTCGGCAAAACGGAGAGCCAGCGAGATACATCCTCCGTGTATCTGGTGACCCGACGGCCAGCTTTCGTGGACTGGCAGGAGTAGGGATAGCACTAAGCATGAGGGCGGAACAAGCACTGTTAGAGTGGATCCTTGTTAACAGTCGTTTATGTGCTGTTCGGCTAAACGGCTTCGTAAGAACTCGGAAGGGTAGGGACACACGTTGTTGCCTTTTTGTCATTTCTGCCTACGCTCCCACCGACTGCAGCTCAGATGAAATGAAAGATGAATTTTACAGAAAGCTATCTGAACTTCTTCAGAAAGCTAAACGTTCAGACATTGTACTCGTAGCAGGTGACTTTAATGCCCAGATAGGTAGTTTAAACCAAACAGAAAGGCATTTAGGTGGGTATTTTGATATTCCGGCAAAACGAACAGATAATGGTGATCGTCTGCTGCGACTGTGCTCAGACAATCGTTTATTTTTAGTAAACACAAATTTCAAGCATAAGGAGAGGCATCGTCTAACATGGCGACCGCCTACACCAAACCAACGATGGACACAAATAGACCATATTGCCATCAGTCATCGTTGGAGAGGGTCGGTAGGAGATTGTTGCTCATTCTGGAGTACCCGCTTGCACTCTGACCACGCCCTAATACGGGCACGCATCTGCTTGCGCCTCACTGGACGCAAAAAAGCCACACTAAAAAGAGCCATTAGAACTGAATTGAGTAGTGAGAAAACCAAAAGTAGGTTCCAGAAACAACTGAGGTCACACTTTGGTAGTTCTGAAAACGAGGTTGACCCAGATGTTGCTTGGAAAGCTATACAAAAAGCTGTGGAAAGAGCAGTGACATCTATCAGTGACTTAAACCTCAGGGTTACAAAGAACCAATGAATTTCCTCAAGGTCTATTGCACTGATGGATTCTCATAAACTCATCCCATCAGGCTCTGAACACGATGAAGAGCGTAAACAAATCAGATCTAGGTTAAGCAAAAGTCTAAGGAACGACCGTGAGCAGTGGTGGGCAACGAAAGCAAAAGAGATGGAAAAGGCGGCGGCTATAGGGAACACAAGACAGCTCTACAGACTAATAAAAGAAACTGGAATTAATAAGTCAAGTGTAAGTCAGACTATTTCGGAAAAAAAGACGACACCCTCATCTGCTCTCAGTCCAGACGTTTAGAACGATTGTCGGAACATTTCAGAGAACAGTTCAGCTGGCCATTCGTCAGGTTTTACAACACAGACATACTTATCGACGTCCGACAATGGTGGTCTTTCTCGACTTAAAAGCAGCATTTGACTCTGTAGACTGCGAGATTCTGTGGCAGTGTCTGTCATTGAAAGGCGTACCTCAGAAGTAAATAAACCTTGTGAAGTCTCTTTACTCGAACACTACTAGTCGAGTCAGAGCTTATGGCGAACTGTCATATACTTTAGCAACCTCAAGTGGTGTCCATCAAGGCTGTCTACTTTCCCTACTTTTGTTTAACTTCATCATAGACCTACTGATGGAAATAACCCTCTCATCGACTGAATTTTCGGGCGTTGATCTCCTTCCATGAGGTCCACTTATCGACTTAGAATACGCAGATGACATAGTCCTGTTTGGCGAAGACGCTGACAAAATGCAGAGTCTTCTGGTAGCACTGAGCAACAATGCCAGGATGTTTGGAATGCGCTTCTCTCCCTCTAAATGCAAGTTGTTGCTTCAGGACTGGTCTGCGTTAACACCTGAACTAAGGATAGGGAATGAAGCAGTCGAACGCGTTGACAGCTTCACTTATCTTGGGAGTCTGATCAGCCCTAATGGGTTGGTGTTATAACTCTGTTTCTTCTTACAGTTAATGACCCAGCTATTCCTATTGCTTAGTATTCTCGGACACCGATTCACTCGACAAGTCCCCAAATCAAAACACGGTTGAACAGGAAGAGATTATATTCCAAATAACAAGGTTAGATGGAAGTCAGAAGCACAATAGAGAAAAACGTCAGTATATTTATAGTATCCTACATGAGAAGATTCTAGAGTGTTCTCCAACTATCGACTAGTGCTGATTGGTTAAGAATTAGCCAATCAGCGTGCACCAAAGCAATCATGCATTGAGCATGCTTTAATCCGGTCTATGTCCCGCTAACACCTCCCCTTTGAGCAGATTCGTAGGATCTGGTGCTAGGGTCCAACTGCAACCGAGTGACTGGCCTGTGCTTTCGATTAGTCCATCGTCTAGGCAATAGTGAAGTATCACTCTTTTCTTGCACAGAAACTGACGTGTCTATTCCCGGCGTTTTGATTTCAAAGGTGTCTAGCAGAACATCAAGAGGTAATCGATATTGAATCTTGTTGCTGGCTATCGAAGTTGCTTTCAATTGGTTAGCATGACGTACCCAAACTTCCGAGCCAACTGACACCTCGTAAACCACACTCCCCTTCTTTTTCACGATCCGACCAGCTGTCCATGTAGGGTGTTTCCCACGATAGTCCATAGCAAGCACTTTTTGTCCCACCGTGAACAATCGTCTTTGTGCCCCATGATGTCGGTTAAACTGATTCTCCATCGATAGGTTTCGTTGGGGTTCAATAGCTGGCGTAGGACGGATGGCATCGAAATGTGTTCGTATCTTTCTGCCAAGTAGAGCTTCTGCTGGAGAGACCCCGTTAATTGTCTGAGGGTTCGGTGTAGAGCGATAAATAAACAGGAACCTCTCTAAGATATCTTCAGTGGTCCCTTCCCCTTTGGATTTTTTTAGAGCATTTTTAAATGTACTCACAAAGCGTTCCACTTGGCCATTTGATTGGGGATGGAATGGAGG